CGGTGAAAAGGCTGATTGTTCGGTGGCATGGGGCTCTACTCACCCTTCCACATTCCCGTTGCCTTTTCTCAAAGTGAGGACTATTGTGAAGCTGGTGATTATGATGCAAATTCGGTCTTTTCATTTCTGGGCTACGCACAAAGACCAATTACCATATATACAAAAGCCAGGGTCTGCCTTCTTTCACCGTGTTCGCTCGAGAGTGGGCCGAGAATAATAGCTGAAAGCGGGCTGAGGATCTCAATTTTTACGGCGTGTTTTAACACGTCCTGGCGTGAAGGGGTTAAGTTCCCACAGGGAGATATTGCTTTAATAAATAAGTTGTCAGGAGAATTCCTGTACAAGGTCAGGAACATCGTAAAGTGTATCGGTATTTCATTTTTTCCTCCCAAAAAGTTATGCCCAAATCAAATGGCAGTGATCATCATGATCATTGACTTGATTATTTTAAATAAATTTGGTTTTGTCCAATTTTGAACGTTAACTTTCTGTTATCATGCAGCTTGCATTTGTTTTCAAAGCTCACTAACGTGCATGATGGTATACATGTAGTAACCAGGTCCCTTATTTTGCCTCTTACCGTGAAAACCAATGCGGCTTGACAGTACATGTAGGTGGTGAAATTAGAGACCAGGCAAATATACGGTCACGCACATCAGACCTGTCTGTTGTAATTCAGTTATAAACTCATTTGTGATTAGAAGCCATTAGGCCACATAAAAAGAAATAATTGGTGAGCGTCCTTTTTTTAAAGCTTGAGGTGGGAGGGTGATTTGGTTTTTTTTGTTCATTTCAATATGCATCTTTGCTGGATTGGAAAATATTAAAGAGTAGTTTCCTCAGTGAATGGAGTTTTTGTATCTTCTTGAAAGGGTTTTACACAGGCAAGTCATTCATCACAAAAGGAGGTAGGGGTTGTAAGCCAGGCGAAAGGTTACCGCCTCGCCAGCTGCTCTATTTTCCATATATAATGCACATGGCCACAACCACAGCCAATAATTCGGATGCGGCTTACACAAATATGCTAACGGTTTGGTGAATCTCAACCTCATTCCCATGGATTCAATCTTGCCGCAACTAAAGGGTCAAGGTTGGGTAGATCTGCACCCATACATGTACATATAAATATTCGGGAGTAATCAGCGATTTCGGGAAGTATCGTTTCCAGAGCGCACAACAGAAGGTCACTAAATTTGAATGTGGGATCATCCAAAAGGCTGTTTTTCCTTTTTTTATATAAATAAAAAATTTTTTTAAAATTGGGGATGGGTGTATTTCTTAAGGGCGGGCGGGGACAATCAAGTATTTTTTTTATGTGGCCCTATAATTAGCATAATTGCTGAAGAAACATGCCTATTTCGGTGTTTGCTTAAAAGAAATCAACTTGCATGTATGTTCATTTGATCCACCTTGCACCAATCTCAACTCCATGGGCTGCTTGTGCGTTCCTTCACTAGCCCCTGGTCATGTAGAAAACGAACATGGCGCTGACTGGCTATTCAGGATGAATTTACATAAATGTATGAAGTCAATCACACATGTTTCAAATGCTACACGCTTGCACCCATGTATTCTCTTGCATGTCACGCACGCGTACATGCACATGTAAATCTGCGTCGCTTGTAAACACGGAATAAAGTCCTAATTTAAATATTCCAAAATGTGGGATATTTAAATTATACAATACCAGGGGTAGATCGCGCAAGGCATGATGGGAACCAACATGGCACAGCAAGGTCGTACCCATGGGAACGAGATTGACTTTTAACATGTTGATTATGATACCAGTAAGCACAACCATGACAACCTGATCAAGTTATCCTGACCAGTCATGTTGATTAGGTAAATCATGTCAGCGTATGCAACATGATCATTTGCAGCTGGGCAGCTTGAGTCAGGATGTCCTAACACATGGATGCCAGTCTTCATGCGAAATTGAAGGTTGTCTGCATTGGTAGATTTGTGTGACTGTGGTGTAAAAAAAAATTTGTGGAATGCAAATACATGCAGATATGGCTGTAAAAAAGTCCGTATGGGGTGGCACGGACATCCGGGAGTTTCGCAAAATGACGGGTAGCAACCACACCGTGCCGATGAAAACAACTGCAATGAACGTGTATGTACTTATCAAAGAAATGATTGTTTAATCCGATCCTCTGAATGGCTGGTGCACACGTACATCTTCATGATCACTGTTTTCATCGGTTACTACCCGCCATTTTGCGAGAGTCCCGGATGTCCGCGCTGCCCCATTGGACAATTCCATACCAACTTTGACATGACTGCCAAAGTTTCAAATTGATTTTACAATTTTTTCTCCACCATTGCTGGTTAGGGATACACCTCAATTGAATGAATCCGAGGGGATATTACGGCAAATTATACATGTAATTAATAAAACAATTCTTAACATTTGTTTTCTTTACATGTACATTTCTATACATGTAACATCCTTAACATAAAATGCAACGTCCGTAACAGCTTTAATTAGCAGAATTGGACTATACTTGAGCACGTTTTTTCTATCTTTCAATTCATGCAAGAGTAGAATGGGCGCAGACCAATTGCAACATAGTTTGTATAAAAAGCTAAAGGAAGCAACTTCACAGAGTTTTACTGAAATGATTTTTTTTTTTTACCTTCGAAAAGCCTTGATTTTGGTTGGGATGTCTTTTGGTCACATCACTCATCAAAGATTTATATCTGTCATTTTTATACATTGTAAAGAAGCATAGAGCCCTCAGTTTGCAGGCTTTAGAATGCAACGACATCATACCAAAATGTTTGCAGACATTCAAGACTGTGTAGCAGTTCTTAGTTCTGATCAGTTCAGGATTCAGTTCAGTGTCAGCCAATAAGTGGTAGTGCTCAAGTACATGATTCGGATGAATGAATGGATTGTTTGCACTGACTGATGTAATCTGCCTCCGTATCTTCCTTTTTCAGATGCTCTTTCAAAATTTACTTACAAGACAAGTAGGGCACAGTCTGACTTTCTCCTTTGCTAAAGGCCCTCCTAAAAATAACTACCAACCATATAATCTAGTGCATTGTTGAGAAGTAAAGAATTTGATGTAGTCAACTGACTGCACCACCAAGATCAACCTGTCACATCCTCCTTAGGGAGGTACCAATAGGTCAACTCTGAGGTCTGCAAGTTTGAGAACAAATCGACGGTCCCATGGGCCGCCCTGGGAAGTCATAAAGGAAGTGACATCCTTGAAACTATGGAAGTTGTCCACTTGAGTCAACAGGCAATAGCCTATATTCAGCCCTGACTACAAGCACAGCCATCAGTCTCTCCTTTTTTTCTTCGAAGACATGGCTTACATGCAGCGTAACAGCATGTGTCTGCTCAGTACCTACATGCAGTAATGATGCTTTAAATTGACAGACATGCAGGTGCGGGTACCTGTGCCTTTATATTGAATGTCCAATCTCACATACCTGTACAAGCCAGACAAGTAATTTTCCCTCTGTTGTCATTCAGAACTGAAGCACTGTACATGCAAACGAAAATGAAGTGTATGCAAATAAAATATGTACAAATTGTTCCCCCTGCGTGTTTTCCCTTCATAGGTGGCAGATGTCTGTGCCAACATGCCGATAGTTTTACTATCTCATCCAGAGACATTGACGATTAAAGTATATTAGAATATAAATGTCTGTTTTTCTAAAAGTGGCACAATACGAGAATTTACTTTAGAACTCAGAAGTTTTAAACATAGAACTTTATTCTGCAATTCACTCTGAAAATTTGTTAAAGGGTGCAAATTTGATGATCAAATAAAGCTGCCTTGGATAGTATTAAGCTGGTGTTAGTGATACCCTGGTAGAGAGATCGACACTTGGTAATATATGTCATGGGCCATTAAGCAGGCCTTCTGGATGACATGCTGGCTCCTGTACTTTGTGAGATTAAAAATAGACTGGCTGTCAAACTGATGACACATCCCTAGTAACAATGTGCACTCAGACATGTACGGTACATTTTGTGCTTGGGGTCATCAAGTTGTGCATGTATCCGAGTGATAGGATCGGTTCTTTATTTGTAGTCACAAGCAGACTTAGTCAAGCAGTTGAAATATTCTTTGTACCTGCTAGAGTTTAATCAAATGCACAACAGTGTCAAGAACAGGTGCATGCATGTACAGTACCACGTATCTTTCCCTGCTGCCGTGGCAAGGATGTTGTGGTGAATTTCACAACTTCCTGAAATTTACCCATCTTTCCTGTGTTTACAAACAATTGACAGCATATTGTAGTTAATGATGAAGTGCATGCACATGAACATATTGCCTTCCATGCTTCCTCAAGGACTGGTGCTGGCACTGAACATATGTACCACCACAGGATGTTGCCAACGTGGAGTGTCGGGAGGTTAATGTTGGAAACTCCCAAAGTTGACAGACTGCTTTTGGAGAAGTCAAACAGGCATGTTGTGTCATGTGGGACCAGATCTGATAATTGCTAGGATTTAGCACTGTAATTTTACTGAACTATCTAAGAATTGAAACCTGTGTTTTAATTTGACAAACATTCTTGTAAATTTCAGTCAAACAAATTGCAACCAACTGACCATGGATGACCAAACATACAAGATTCAAAATTATGCCTTGAGGTTTTGAGATGTTTCATGGGATTTCAGACAGTAGAGTTTTAAGACTTCTTTTCAAACAATCCTCTTGCAACCAAATTTTTAAATGTCTGTCAAAAGGATGAACAAAGAGGCTTTCCCACAACTTGCAGAAGAGCCAACTAAGGCAATACTGATGGCCTTTAAGGCACAGATGGCTGAGCTGTGGTTCCCAGTGGATTTGGCATTCTTGGGCTGACAAGCTAACAAGAATAAGGAGGACTTGACCGGAAGTTACTTGTATCCAAAGAGTACCAGGAAGAATTGAAATATAGATAATGCTCAGGATTCAAAGATGATGATTACACTTGAAGAAATTGATGTTGGAGTAATTTTTACTCAGAAATGGTTGTACTTGACCTAGTGTTACTAAAAGCAATGGCGTGAATGAATATCATACTTGACGACAGGTTGTAAGTAGCGTTACATTTTTCAAATCAGATGCTGTTATTGCTTGTATTAAGCAATCCATGTAAATAGTACTCGCTGGACTTTGCTCATAGGTATCCGTCAAAGTGCTGCAAATAAGGGAGTACTTTATTACAGGATAACAGATACATTTACTGTTAAGCAGCATTTCCCTTCCCTATTCAGCTGTGAGGCGGCCTACCTCACTAATTTTAGTGACCACCTTGGGCTTTTCTGTTGAATTTACCACCTCACACCCAACAAAGATGGAAGGAAAAAGCAAAATAAACTTAAGATATTTTGAAATAAATCAGTTTTAAATCATTCAGAATGGTAAAGAGGTATACAGAAGACAAGATCGGTTTATTTTATTGGAAAAATTTGGAGCAAATGTACTATTAGACTTTATAGAATTTATTTTAGGCCATTTTGAAAACACTCGCTCTTGTTTCAGGCACTAGAATTTTGGCAAAATTTGTTTGACCACCTCATACATATCAGAACCGCAGGGAACCCTGCTGTTGAAATGAATGACTTAAACTGCCCTTGTTTTCTTCAGGAGGTTTGTGAATTTTATTTTTCGATGCACTTTTTCAAGGCCTGTGTTAACTACTTCCTTTTCTTTTGTTGTCCATTTTCAGGCAGCATATGAAAACATCCCAACATCTACAAAGATTCCGTTTCTAGTGAGGTCCTTCCGGAATGCTAAAGTCCCACCAGAGGTAATAAGAAATCTCTCAGAAAATTATGTTTGAACTTTCAAAGAGCTGAAAAGATTTAATCAGTGGATACTACTATAGTACCAAATTTTTTTCTCCTAATTTACTCATAGAATAGCAATTGAGTGGCAATTTAGCTGGGTTTCATGAAGTTTCTGAGTTCATACTTTATAATTTGAATTCTACATGTTACTCTGTAAGGTCTGGCACTTATTAAACTTTTACACGTTAAACTTGGTATACGTGTATATAGCTTCATTGTAGAAATTGTACTAAACTTTTCGGCCTTGTGGCATAAATTTACAAGGAAACAGTTGAACTCTTTTCGTCATGATGATGTCGGCATGATTCATCACATTGTGCTGTTTCGGAAAATCACACTTTGACCTTGGGTACTGAATATGATGTGTGCCTTGCGTCAGTTTGACAGACATCAAGGCAGTACACATCTTCATTTGCCATAGGCATTTGCTACAGTTGGTGTAGCCAGGAAATGGCAGAATGCTCTGGTTTCTCTTTCACATTTGGGTACATTTGTTTTGTTTTGATCAAGAGGATAAAGTGTGAAGAACCGTTTTGGCACAGGTCCAGCATTAGACTCCAAATGTAATTGCAGCTGGGCGAAGCAAAAGTTGCTGGAAGTTGATTCTTGGATCCTTCTTCCAACAAATACAGTTCTGCAGGAATTTTATAGCACGCCATGAACAAGTGTCATTTTTCCATCGAGCCATGGTCACTTTCGGAATCTGTTAAATCCAGCAGGGATTCCGTTCCATTCATTACTTCAGCTGTTCATCCACTGTTCAGGCCAAAACATTTCTTGTTCATGAAGTTCACTCAATGCTTTTGAAAAGACTGAGGAAAGTGATTCTTGTTGCGTATCATTTTGGTCCAGGTTTCTGTTTGTAACTTGTCTGATTTCTGTTTTGCTAAATATCTGCTCAGTGTCAGGTAATTGAATTAAGGGTGATGAATGGATCATTTTGCTGTGAACACAGAAATAGCGTTGCTGTCATCACACAGCGTTTCTAAAAATAGTTTGACCTCACCTAGGAAACCAGCTGACGACATGACCTGACCAAGTCTTGTGGGAGGTTTAGTATTTGAGAAGATGGTTTTGTATAAAGCACACATTATGCATTGCTTGCAGGCTACCGAGTGATGGGAAAAAGTAATCTGAATTTTCTAGAAAGAAGAAAATTGTAGGTAAGATTGGGATGATCCTGCTTGGATTTTTTTTTTAAGTCACGACAAATGGCTGCCGTCCTGCTGCGGCGTGTCATCAGCACTCACCATGACGACGTCTGGCCCAATTTAGGGGAGGAGTCTCAAGGGTGGATTAAGGTGGAACTCTTGAGTGGCATCCAAGAGGAGACAACTCCCCTGGTTCAGAGGAGGATTTGTGACGTGGCGGCAGAGCTAGCCAGAAATTTGGTCGGTGAGTAGAAACTTAATTCCATCAAGGAATGAGTGTTCAACCCATTTCAACATTGTAATGGAAAGTTTAATATGAATGCACCTGTAATGTCTGTTGATGGAACAAAAATCTGTTGAATTTTTCTAGGTTTTTAGGACATTTAAGTTAAATTGATCAGGTTTGACTGAATGTTACCAGGCCTCGTGATTTTTTATCTAAGCATAATTGTAAAGCAAAAGTTAATTTGTGTAGTGAAGGAATTTGATCACTGTCATGTCATTTTTCATTTCAGATGAAGATGGAAACCTGCTTTGGCCGGAAGTTCTGGAATTCCTGTTCAGTTGCGCTACTTCCAACAATGTTTCACTCATGGAAAGTGCATTACACATCTTCAAGTAAGAGGAAGCAGATTCTCAAGTCAGCATAATCTTCAAGGAAATCCCTCTTGACATCATCTTTATTTTTATGTTTTGCATTCACACTGAGTGCAAAGTGATCTTACCTGCCCAGATCTTCAAAGATCAGCCCACCGTATTTGATACGTACTCCCCCAAGTGACTCTGTTTTTCTAATTTGGTTTTCTTTTTCAGCAACTATCCAGGCATTTTTGGCAACAGGCAGGCTCATTACCTGGAGGTCATCAAACAAATGTTAGCACAGTGCATCGCAGAACAGCAACAGCTTAGCGTAAGCCCCTCAGCTTTTCACTGAATTCTTTTCCACTAAGACCGATACCAGAGCGCTGGACAACTTGACATAACCTTGCGATTTCAATCCCGAACACCGTTCACATCAAATAGAATGGAAACACTTATGTACTTCCCAAGGGGAGTTTAGTTTAAAACAAAAGTCAGGGGTTGCTATTTTTTGGTCACGTTTGAGCCAAGAATTCCTTAAAATCAAAAGAGAGGAAGAAGAATTTCCAAGATAGTTGGACTTGAAAGCACAAGAAGCGTTTGCTACAACCCAGTTCTTGTGTTGGTGTGACTAGGATTGGTACCTTATCATGAAAACGATAAGCCTAGTTTGACGTCCTCGTTGGTCAGACTAATTTGGACTTTTCTCTTCAGGTGCGGATACTGGCAGCCAAGGCTATCATTTCCTTCATTCTTGCCCAAGGCAATGACACGGCGACCCAGAAGCACTTTGCTCATCTGATACCTTCCGTGATACAGGTAAGAGTCAAAAACGTGAGCGTTAGATATTATCCCAGTTGCATGGCGGCGTGTGCTTCTATACACAAGTACTTTGTGGCTGGAGTGACCGTTCTCTACAACTGGTTTTGTTCCTGATTTAAAGGCTTGTGTGGAAAGTGTGAGGGTCGGGGACGATGACACCTTGCTGAAGAGCTTCATAGAGCTAGAAGAAACTGTGCCAAAACTGATCCGACCACACCTTGAAACTGTCGTCTGTTTTGCACTAAAGGTGAGAAGTTTTTACCAGTTGAACAATTTTCTGGCACTTCATTGTTTCAAGAGTTTTGTCTTGGTGTTGAAGGCCTACAACTAGCCCAAATGGCTTACGTTCATGTTTCTTTGTTCTGGACTGATTTCTACGTCAGGAATATTTCTAAACCTTTTTTTTTTTTACTTTTTTGTTGATTTAGATTGTTGAAGACACAAATTTAACAGATAGCTGGAGGCAGCTTGGGCTTGAAATGATCGTCACATTAGCAGAGACGGCGCCGGCGATGTTAAGGAAACTACCGCAGTACATACCACACATCAGTGAGTTATGTTGTTTAGAGCTTTGTTACCTTGAGGTTTTGTAATTGGACCTGGAGTTGAAGACAAACTGTGTTGGTGCCATATCAGCCAGGCAATCCCGCCCTGTGTTGGTTTCCACTGTGATTGTTATTTTGGAGATCGTTTGGGACTAGCTTTTACGGCCTTAGATGCCCAGTTCTATGTTGTTTACACATTTTCTGTCTCTAGACTGTAATTGGCTCCATAATGGGCTTCAAGCTGGTCCAAGAGAGGGCGCTATTTCCTATAGCAGTGGAGGTTCTGTTGGTACTAACTGCGGATTACTGGTTCACGAACGACTAGGAAATGCAAGTGTTACAGTTGCATCACTATCAACTAATGAATACTTCTTACCACTGCAGCTGTTTTCAACCAATGAGGTGGTGCTTCTGCTCGAGATGGATAGCACCACACCTCAGTGAACATTACCATGCTTCATCACTGAAGCTACTTGATTCTTAAGTCTTTGCTGTTAATTTGCTCTGGGTTATGTTTTCAGCACAAATTTTTATGTTTGTGGTGTTGATGCAGTCATGAAACTTGTGTTGGGTGAATACATTTGTTGATCATGAAACAATCGGAGAATTGATGAAGGGATTGTTCTGGGGGTTTGTTCCAGTTTCCAAGATGCTGGCAATGATGGTGGATCTAGAGGAGGACCCAGAGTGGGCCATGGGTGATGACTTGGACGATGACGATGCTGACTCAAATGCTGTAGCAGGGGAGAGCGCCCTCGACCGCTTTGCCTGTGGCATTGGTGGGAAGACAATGCTCCCTCAGATCAAAGTGTCGATACCACCGATGTTGCAGAATCGTAAGAGAAATTGGATGTCAATCTGTTACAACAGATTAGGTTGTGTCATTTTTCATTGAAAGTGAATGCTGTGGAGTTTTGTCAGGTTTCTGAAGTTTGATTTTTATGCCTGCAAAGGCAAATGTTAAAGTTCCATTTTGACTAGATCATGGGGAAATAAAAAACTTGTGAGAGGTGACAGTGTCTGCCAAAATGATTGTACAGAGTCAAGACGTTGAGCAAAATTGAACTGTTTCATGCCAAGTCTCCATTTCACATTGCTTTTCGTCTGTGTGTGCTCAAACCACTGCTGTTAACCATGGCATGGAGAGTAAATTCATCTACACACACTCCGTGAATCAGAAGATATTATTTGACACTTGTCTTGATGTTTATTTTCCTCAGCTGACTGGCGTTATCGGCATGCGGCCTTGATGGCCATTTCAGCGGTCGGTGAGGGATGTCACAAACAGATGGAGGCTATGTTGGGTCAGATTGTAGAGTCAGTCTTACCTTTCCTGGAAGACCAGGTAAGTTCTCTTGTCCTTAACCACTTCCTGCTGGGGATTCTGGATCCGGACACGTGTGCTTTATATGCATGGCCGGGGTCTCCGAACTGGGACAAAGGAAACATGGCCTTGTAACGAAAGACCGTACTCGGAACAAAAGACCAGGCTGCTGGCCATTACCGACATTTCACTCTCAAAAGTGGAGATAATCCAGCCTTGTTTTGAAACAATATACCACGGTTTGGGGCATTTAGAGCAAGTGGATTACCATCGGGTACAAAAGCGCTCCACCACCACAGGATGAGCCACACAGCACCGCTGAATGCTAATCTGACCCCTATTGAAAAGTGGTCAGCAGCGCACTGAGCCAGGTTCATGATTAAAAGAAACTTATATAACACCACACAATCTGGGCTCTGGGCTGCAGGCCTGGCTGAAATACTCAGAACTTTGAAAACAGAAAAGAAATGATAATTATCCCAGACCAGCATCATCAACATTGATAACTGCACCCGGCAGCAAGTGGTTCACCTTCCTTTCTTGATGTTTCATACTTCCATTTCCTTGACTCAATTTCCATTCGTACAGAAAACAATGTAGTCCTAAGAAAGATGAAACACTTCAAGTTTGGTTTTCCTCAGCATCCCAGGGTTCGCTATGCCTCTTGCAATGCCCTGGGCCAGATGGCCACAGACTTCGCCCAGACATTTGAGCGTAAATTCCACCAGAAGGTCGTGCCGGGTCTGCTGGCAGTTCTGGATGATCACAGTCACCCAAGAGTACAGGCACATGCCGGAGCTGCATTGGTCAACTTCAGCGAAGCCTGCCCCAAGAACCTGCTCCTACCCTACCTAGACGCCATCTTGACCAAACTGGAGGGTGTCCTTAATATGAAAATCTCAGAGGTATTGTCAGAGTTTTAAGTCTCCCTTTTTATAGTATCCACGATTGACATTAAAATCGCACCATTGGGTTTAACATAAGGCAAACAAGAACCGTGAGCATGCGTACATGTCCATGCATACTCATGCGATATGATTGCACAGTTCACGTCACAGCATTAGAATTCTTTACAACTGATTATGTTGACAAGCTGTCTTGACGAGTTCAAGTTGTTGTTTTGGGAAATGAAACAGTTTTTTCTGAAAAACTATTTTGTTAGTCGCTTGTAATAATGCCTGGATTTGTCTGAACAAGATGCACTCTCTACTCAAGAATTCGTCAAAGTAATGCAAAATTATGCATCGCATTGTGGATATTTTGGTGTTTTTATTTTTTTGTCAGTTGGTTCAGACGGGGACTAAACTGGTCCTGGAGCAGATGGTTACCACGCTGGCTGCTGTAGCAGACACATCTGAGGAGACCTTCTTGCAATACTACGACCGTTTCATGCCCAACTTAAAATACATTGTCCAGAACGCAAACACGAAAGAGCTGCGGTTACTCAGAGGGAAGACCATTGAGTGCATCAGTTTAATTGGACTGGCTGTTGGAAGAGAAAAGGTTTGTTTTAAAAAGAAATGCCCTGGTGGACAAGTGGTTAAAGGATCTAGCCTTGGAGAAAAGATAGTGTGTTCAAAGCCTCATAAACACGTTTCCTTCGAGTTTTAAACTATTAATCAGAACATTCCTCATGGAGATAAATTAAGTCGTAAGAAATCATTTACTGCGGTAACATTTACCCAGTGTTAATTTAGGATTTTCCAAATCAGGCAGTGTCCAAGCAAACTTCAGATGTTAGTCATAATCCTGTCTGTTTCTTCCTCAGCCGTCATTCAGGGTAGATTATTAATACATCTCTGTATGTACTAGCCATGTGTATTAACTGCCCAAGAGCACCATATTCATCAGCCTGGCCTTGTTGGTGGCTTGCAAGTAATATTTTTGGACTATCTGGTCGGCTTCATTTTCTGCCCCACCTCATGTTGCAGTTCTCCATGGACGGCAATGACGTCATGCAGCTGTTGCTAAAGTCTCAGGTTGACCCCAACGACCTTGAGGATGATGACCCCCAGGTGTCGTACATGATCTCGGCATGGGGTCGTATGTGTAAGATCCTCGGCCGTGATTTCCAGCAGTACCTACCGCTGGTCATGGGACCCACCCTCAAGACCGCATCTCTTAAACCTGAAGTGGCCTTACTGGACGGTAAGTTTGGGTGAACAAGCTGAAAGCTTGGAACATTTTTAACACACTACCTCATTCTCAGTGTCTGAAGTAAATGGTTGATTGCTACACTTTCTTTGTTGCCATTTCAGAGTTTTTACTCCAAGGAATTGGAGCATTATTGGAAGTCCTTCGAAATCTTCAAACTCTGTTTTGTTTCAAACGTGTTTTATGATGTGTTGATTCATAATAGCCGAGGAGGCCAAAACAATGACGGAAGACGAGGGTTGGGAGTTTGTCAACCTGGGTGAGCAACAGAGTTTCGGTATCAAGACGGCGGGTTTGGAGGACAAGAGTACAGCTTGCCAGATGCTCGTCTGCTATGCCAGGGAGCTCAAGGAAGCCTTTGCTGAGTACACGGAGGAAGTGGCCAAGATCATGGTGCCTCTGCTCAAGTTCTACTTCCATGACAATATCCTTTTTTTACTGAACAGGCCTCCAACGCGATCTTTGTGGAATTATTTCTGAAGACAGTCCCTCACCTATCACATCAAATGGTGTGTTCCTTATACTTTTACAATATATAGACATTAAGGTAAGATCAGAACAACTAGATGTCTGTTATCTTTGATCCCTCCGACTCAAGAAATAGAGGTCAAGTTTTGTTGAATATTTGTTGAGGGAATTATCCTGTTTAATAGCTTTATGGATTGGTCTTAAGTCCCAGTAGTTAGCAGTACTTTGTAGATTGCAAGCAGTTGCGTTGTTCTGAAACAATTTGAGTGCTAGATCAGTTAATTTCCAAGATTACATCATTTGTATCAACGGTCTTTTACTTCACGCTTCGTTTCACACATCCTCTCCAAATCAGTCCATGATTCCTAGTCAAGGTTGTTTCCTTGACAGACTGTTAACTGGTCAGATTCACAGCGGCTGAGTCGATGCCATTACTCCTGGAATGCGTCAAGGACAAAGGTGATGAGTATGTGGCATCTATGTGGAGCTTCATGTATCCTGAAATGATCAAGGCTGTCCAGACAGAACCCGAAGTGGAGATACTGCAGGAGCACATGGAATCTCTGTCAAAGGTGGAAATTTACTCCTTTCAAATAACCCGAACCCTGTCGGCATTTTGCCACCAGTTTTCCTCTTAAATCCACATGGAGAAACCCGGGAATGCTTTGTAGCTCAACTTCCATCGATCTGGAAAAATCATTATGTTTAAGTTAGCCTAAGGCTGGTGAGGTTAACCTCTGGCTGGTTAGGTTAACCTCTGGCTGGTTAGGTCAACCTCTGGCTGGTTAGGTTAGCCTCTGGCTGGTTAGGTTAGCCTCTGGCTGGTTAGGTTAGCCTCTGGCTGGTGAGGTTAGCCTCTGGCTGGTGAGGTTAGCCTCTGGCTGGTTAGGTTAGCCTCTGGCTGGTTAGGTTAGCCTCTGGCTGGTTAGGTTAGCCTCTGGCTGGTTAGGTTAGCCTCTGTACCAGTAATGAATTCTTGTTATGTTCAAAAGTCGAGCAATAACTTCTCATCAGAGAATCCAGTATTTATTTAAAGTTGCCTTCTTTGTATCACGGTTACAGTGCATAGAATATCTGGGCTCAGGTTGCCTTAGCAACGAGCAGATGCAGGAAATATCCAGAACATTGATTGACATGCTGGAGGAGCACTTCAAGAGACAAGCAGACAGGCAAGGTGAGATCAGTCAAAAACTTTCAATCAAAGCCAGACGTGTAAAAAACAGCCAATCAAAGTCAGACATCTGTAAGAAACAGCCAATCAAAGCCACACATCTGTAAGAAACAGCCAATCAAAGCCAGGCATCTGTAAGAAACAGCCAAGAAAATATCAGAGCATTTGCCTCACATGCATAGTTTATTAAAATAGAAAGGTTTCACTGGTAGTGTTTTTGCATCAATAAAGATTTGAGTAACCAGCGTTCAGGGTCAAAAAGGAACAATTGGGGCTGAAGTGCCTTTTCAAAAACTTCCCAGAAAATAATTGGTTATAAAAATTTATCCTTTTCCCTTTTTTTTAGAAAAGAGAAAAGATGAAGACTACGATGACGATGTTGAAGAAAACCTACAGGATGAGGTTGGTTTAAGTTGGTTAGATTCAAGGAATGTTTCCAACTTGTGGTGAGCAGTTGAAGCAGTTTGTGTGACTTGGTCTTCATTTATTCTTACTGTAGCATCAAGATGATGCCTATCTCCTCAGCAAGGTCTCTGATATTGTCCATGCCATCCTTGGCACACAGCGTGAAGCAGGGATACCATTCTTTGAACAACTGCTCCCCCATGTCGTCAGACTTCTGGTAAGGCTCCGATTTCCAAAATCATCCCCGGGACAAATCATACCAAGACTCAGACGGTTAATTTCTGTCCAACATTGTCATGGATTGACAAGTGTGTCCTGCCCAAACTGTGTATCAAATACCGTGTTTCGTAGATGTCTGATGGAAATTGATGACTGTTTCTGAAACATCCAGGACTCTTGTCAGCATATATCTGTTTATTTGTAACACGTGAAGATCCAGCATTTACCCTAGAAACATGATAAAATCACAGCCTCAGCTCTTGCTCGTACACGCGCAGATGTCGTCACAACTCAAGTACAAACCTTGCCATGATGTGTAGATAGATTCAAGTCTTGTGTAGTAGTAGAAAGAACAGTTAGTGTTTTAAATGGAAGAAGTTATGGATGCATTTATCAATTTTTCTAACCAGCATAAATCTTTGTGATATACATGTAGTTTGATAGCGTATCAATTGTAACTGTTCCCTTCTCATCAACAGTCAGTAGACAGGCCTTGGACGGATAGGCAGTGGGGAATTTGCATATTTGATGATGTCATAGAATACCTTGGGCCAGTAAGTAGCATTTTTGTCATTTTGATGAGAATGTTAAGAACATTTCGTCAGAAGTAACAGAAAAAATTACCTCCTTTATTTCAATTTTATATCATAAAGAATGAGTTTATTACCAGATTGTATAATTTGTGTTTGTGAAAGCTGTAAAATGCTTTTAGAATTTGCCTCTCGTTTAATTTTAAGTTTTATGTTCAAAGATAAAGAACACGGCATTTGAGTTTCTTACCTTTTTTCCTTTTTCCAGAATTCCTTTAAATATCAGGAGTACTTTTTAAACCCACTGCTGCAATACGTCTGTGACCGCAGTGCTGAGGTTAGACAAGCAGCAGCCTATGGCTGTGGAGTAATGGGAAAATTTGGCGGACCACAGTATGCGCAGGCATGCTTAGGTAAGGTCAAAGGTCACGGGGCCAAATGTCTCATTCTGAAATGTCCCGACTTTGTGAGGAAAGAGCCACAAGTTAAAGGAATGAGATTTTATCAGATGGGTGCAACAAATTAAGGAATATTTTGGTTCCATTTTTCTTTTTTGGGGGGTTGAAACAGAGGCCATCCCAACGCTGTCTGCAGTTATTGCGGATCCCCAGTCCAAATCCAGAGACAACCTCTACGCGACGGAAAACGCTATTGCTGCTGTTACCAAGATACTGCAGCATAACAACAGCAAGCTGAACCTGGATGAGCTACTGCCTCTCTGGTTGTCATGGTTACCGGTGACAGAGGACAAGGAGGAGGCGGTTCACGTGTACAGCTTCCTCTGTGATCTTATTGAATCGTGAGTAGCATTCATATTGAGAGTCATTGGTTTCTAACTCTTTTCTTTTTTCATAAGTCTAGCCAATCTTCACTGCATGGAACTTTGACTGTTCCCTGACTTCTCCGTGTCCTCAGAAAAGCTTCAGGTAATGTAACATGTCAGACTTCTGCCTTCCTCAATCCTGTACAGTCCTTAAGCTTGGTGCATTTTGAAGGATTCAGGAAGGTCTAAATTGAAATCAGATCTACAGAAAGTTATTCATTTAAATACCCTGGGTATTCTGCCAAACAACACCACGATATTTGATGATTTTTATGTCATGTAAAACCTCCTTTTTCCTTACCTCTATGGCTAGAAATAATCATATCATCCTGGGCATCAACAACGGCAATCTGCCAAATCTTCTGGCCATCCTGAGTGAAGCGTTCTCCAATGATGCCCTTTGTGAAGATGAAAATGTCTTACATCGATGCATCAACATCGTCAAACAAATCCAGGCAAGTACTGTAAACCTCTCAATTTTGATTGCTCAACCTTTAGACAGCGAGACAAAGCTCCCCCATTAACAGGAGGAAACGTTTCTTCTAGACATGAAGTCAGTACATGTATTTTCAATATTTTATTAACGATGATCCACATATCACTTTGGTAAGATTGTTAAAATTCCCTGTCAGACTTAGAATAAGATTAATGCCAAATGTGCTACCTGTTTAGTACCGCTTCCTTTTAGGGTTAGTATAATTCAAGAATGTGACATTTTGAACTTCAAAGAATTGTTTAATTTTTTTTTTTACTTCAGAGCAACCAAGAACTTTGGACCGTCTGTGTCGCACAACTGTCAACGGAACACCAGCAAGCTTTAATTGATGCCCTCAAGATGCTGGAACACTGAATTTTGACCCACGACCTGTGGTTAGCCTGACCTTATTGGATGTTATGGTTTGCTATAAGCAAAGTAGATGAGGGATTTGGTTTGGAATGGTTTCACCCAAGACTGGGTGGTTTGTTTCAAAGGAGAAATGAAAAATGCTTTTTGACAGCCCGAGTTTGTTGGAAGGTTGCCAATTTGGCATTTAGGGTGTAAGTTTCAACAGTAAAGCTCTCTGTGATTTGTTGGTAACCATTTATGATGGGCACACTGCCAGTTATTAATATTGCTTCATAGTTTCAAGGTTTCGTTGGCAAATAGGGACGTGTCGCTCCAAAATGTTGGTTGCACATCATTTGACATGTTTGGACATGCAGGGTGTCATATCTGTGTTGAAGTCCAAGATTGCTGGTTACTTTCGTAGTAGTCTCTTGGTTGGGTTTTATTTGCTCATTTCAACATGTTTGCTGCTAATTGTAACATTAATTGTAAATTTCCACTTGCCGAGTAGCAGTTCAAACATACCGTCTATCAAGTGCAACATGGTGACTTGGGAGTCATTTACCATTTGTATAGCGGCATTGAAGATTTTTGTCCAACTTATTTTCCCAAATTTCAATGAGTTTGACATCACAATTTTGCTTTACAACCTTTTAGCGCACTGAGAAAAAAACAGAATATCTTGGCAGAGTGTAGATGGAATTTATTATTTTGTTCAGGCAAAAACTGATCACTAAGGTATTTTCAGATTTTCCATGGACAGACATTAAAATGAAACACTTTGAAAAAAATCAGGATTGTTGTAATCATGTATGAATTGGAAGAACTTATTAATCTTGTAAAAAGTAAGTAGTAGCCATGAATTGAAATGGCTAATTTCTCATTAAGCACCATTGATTTCATGTCAACATGTACCATAAGTCTAGTCTTTCTTGGAGAGTTTCATAATCCTTTGTAAGATAATCCCAAGAATACAGTTCAGAGACTTTGATTATTTTTCCATGGGCAGGTTGTGTCTGGTTGATCTATAGATTCATTTTTTTTTCTTTCTGGGGGATGCAAATTGTTCTTGGTGAAACAAAAAACCAAAATGAATAAAGTGTGTAAATCTGAAATATGTGCACCTTACCCTACACAGGATCTATTGTTCTTTCAACTTCTATAAAGGCAAACCATGTACATGTAGGTAACGGTCACATTCAAATGAAAGTATGTAGATGGGTGTATTCTTATTTCAGTAGCCAATGGTAATAAATTTACAAGGTGTGAGAATATTCTACATTATTATCTTCACAACCAAAGTTGAAGTATGACTTTGTGGCTTTCTGATAGGACAGTCAGACTCTTATCTATGAGTGCTTAAACATCAAAGACAGGTACATTAGACCAAATCAGCCCTAGGAGGCAAGGATACAACCTCAGTCGCTATGTTACTCTGCGTGCAATCATGGATCTGGTCCACCAGACCTAGCATGAATGATGTCCAACTCTTGAAAAACTTTCTTTGATATTCCTGTCCAACTTGTACAGCAATTTTCATCATTTCAGAATACATGCAAGTATAGAAGTGAAAACTAGTCTTTGTACTTTGCTGTGGTCAAAAACAGTACATTTAGCAATTTCCACACGGTAAATTAATTAGGTTTTGCGGGAAAGTCTGCTGTAAAATTAATGCACGGAGTAAAAAAAAAAATGCTTGCCATCAAGCAGGTGACTCAGTTTCACTAAGCAAACTTCCAGTGTTAATCAGACGTGCTTAGAAGGTATGCATATGCCCCATGACATACACCACTAGGCAAATCGTGTAGTTTGCATTGCTTGTCATAAGTCCTCAGCTGATTTTCATTTAGTAAAATACTTAAATGTGGACAGCAGTGGTTTCAGCTTAGCGGCCTTGGAAATAAGCGCTGTATTTTCAATATTTGCCTGGCAATGAGATCAGTTATACTTCTAAATTTATGTTAAGCTACTCTGAAGATAGTTGCCGATGCAGCCATTGACAAGTTCTCAACTAACTGAAGATCAGTTATTCACTTATTTTGCAATGAAACAATTTCTTAACTTTTAAAGGTAAGAAATTGCCAGTGGCACGTGAAAATGTACAGAAAAATGCGAGGAAAAAACCTTTTTACCATTCACTGGTAATCATTTCATTTTGTGTGGCGCAATTGCCTGTAATTTTAAAGATTTTTCCTTGAAGAAAGGTTGCATAAAAATTTACAAGACTGTATACTTTGGGGGTTTGTAAAGTATACAATAAGAGTTAACCTACGTAAATGAAATTTGACGTCAATTACAGTATAAATAAAATGTAAAGTGGTTTCTTTTGGAACGAAGAGGACGTATCTTTGATTGGCTTTGGTTTGTACATTTGACTTCCTTTGAGACTGCTACAATCGTCAAGTGTTTGAATCAGTACCAAACTCTATTTTCTATACTTGAAACCTGACAAAATACAAGTAAAAGACTGCTTGGATGCTTGTGTAACCTCTGCATTAGTATGTTAATCACCGGATCACTTCTCAAGTGGAATTTTCAAAACTTGTGGCCTCGGACAACATTGAGGTTTCTTGTGTTTGCATTTCATTCTGGGAGTCCAAAATTCTCAAAATTCAGATGTCAGTTCGTTTGGCCTTTTCATACCACAATCACAAACAGGCTTACCAAAGAGCAAATGTAAGATGCAACTAATATGAGAACTTCCTAGCCACTTTAAATAATTGAAGAATCTAGTAACAATTGTGAAGTTTTCGAAATAGAATCCAGTGTAATATCTCAGTTTTGCAGAAGGTCCAACGTATCTGCACATGATTCATAAGCCATTTTATATAGGCCCTACCGTTGGGAACTAGCTAAAAATAATTTGTTTTAAATTGTTTTAATATCTCATTGATCAATCATCATAGGAAATTTACCTGCAGTGCCTCAATCCTACTGTAGATGGATTGCTTTAACCTTCTGTCTTCATGGGCATTTACTTTTGAGTCGACCACCCACACTAGTACAACAGAGGTCCTGCGTGGAGCGCCCTCACAGAGGACAGGTCTTTGTTCCTCTGAGATACGCTTGAATAGACCCTATAGTACTTCATTGTCACATTAATTTAAATAACAAAACGTCCTCTGTGAGGGCGCTCCATGTAGCCCCTCTATATACTCCCTTGTACTATGTACTGTTAGGCCTAACTTATGTTGAAGCCTGAAGTTTAACTTGCTGGAAAAAAGACAGACATTTCCGACATGAAATGACTCTAAGTGCAGGATTTTTTAAGGCTTAGCTAGGCCTACTTTTACATAACTAGGGGGCCTACGCCATATCACGGCTGTTTAATTGCACTTTCACAGTCCAAATATCATAACAAAATGGCGGCAAACCAACAGGCTATTTCATGAAGCTAAGGCACAGGTCAGAAGACCTCCATCATGTCCAGGGGAACCGCCTTGGCACGCACTGTCATACACTTTTCATTCAGGGTTTGAAATAAAAATAACTACTATGATAGGCCTAGGGCCAAGCTCTTTGGCTTGGCTGTTAGTTATTTTGACTGATCAAACTAACGAAAGACAGTCGAAGTAGGCCCTAGTTCAGTTCACTTTATTTTCCACATAATATTTACTCTGTAGAAACAGTTTCACAAAGTGTATATATGTGGATTGTTGCAACTTGAATACATACCTCGGAGATATTTAACGAACGGTCATTCAGCGAACGTGACGTGGCGTGGGCCGGCGTTACAGGTGATGTCCATGCAAGGACATCTTTGGTAGGAACTAGGAACGATGCACGTGCGTACAGTTAGCAAGCAGCTAGCTGTGTGCTTGCTATGTCAAAGGTCATTAAACTTCTTTCAACTAGAACTTCAAGTCGGATAACCGCAACCAACCCTACATTCACCAAATCTGTAGAACATGCAGTACTTGAGGGTCAGCAACACATACCTTATTTTGAAGACTAGTGTGAAAAATGCTTCACCCACTTCAGCCTACATCTCAAAATATGTCTCTTTTGCTAACTCATGAACTTGCAAGTTGAAGGAGATATAGCGCCCTCAATCCAAAATGAATATTAATTAAAAAGTTCGTTCGTATTTTACATAATTACGCGCCAAGTCGTACACTGTGATATTGATGGCGACTGGCGTCGACAAAAGGAAATATTATTAACATAATGCTCTAAATAGCTTCAGATTAGGGTCTCGTGTAAACTCGTATATGATGCCAACTACCATCAGGTTTTGATGAGATCGGTTGACAGGTAATAAGCTTACGCTTTGCTAGGTGAGTAATGCTACTCAAGTTTTATGACGTGAGGCTGTGTACACCGTACACGGGCCTATGTACCGTGTACATAATTAGATTCAACTCAAAGCACACAACTGGTTGGTGTCCGGCCTGTGCTGTCCAAGGAAAATATTGGAATTGACAATTGTCTTTTGGCGCTATGCTGAGGCCAACTTTCCATTTCCACTTGTTTTTGCTTGCCAGGCTCAGCTCAGGGCTGTTGGACGGAAGGCTAGATGATGAGACTCTGAATAGGTCTAGTCTTATCCTTAGGCCCTAGCCTTTCAGTCGTGCAATTCATTCGAATCATCACGGACAGTGTCACGCTAGAGTGATCATCAATAAGCAAGCCTGTATGGGTTAAGTGTATTGAGTGAATTTACACACAACTAGCTTTCCCTGCCACTTCATTTACGCACGAATCATAGTTCTCCAGGATCGATTATGCCTCGAGCGCAACGCATGTGTGTCACTGTAGATGGTCACGATTTCCTAACGTACGATCCAGCATCCATTTACTTTGTTACCTTCTGTTTCTATTCCAGACGTTCTTGAAAGGTTTCGATCCTGATTTTGAGATGAAATAATCGTTCGTGAAGAGGAATCGATAAAGCTTATGTCTTGTTTATTCGCGGAGAAACAAACGCAAACTCACTGTCTGATCTGACGCCAAACATTGCAAGTGCCCGTCATCGTGTCAGGGTCCTTATATTCCGAGCTGTGAAGAAAGTAAGTACCTTCTTTTATTGCAACAGTGTTGGGCTGAAATGTGGAATGTCATTTACGAAAAACAGTCAACATCGTCATCATGTCCAGTGCTGTAGCTAGTTTGGACCTGCAACTTGATGTACAAAATGATGAACTCTTTCCTGAATAAAGCTCACCTAGACCATTAGCTGGTTGTAAGAACTTGATACCGGTGCATGCGCCTTTGTCATCTTCTTCAAAACTGGAATATTTATTATGTCAGTCGGTAATATAACACTACATGAATATATTTTGTCGTTTCAGGTGTTTAGCAACAATAAGCTATAATGGTATCAGTTCGAAAGAAAAAACAAACATGGAAGGGAATATTTCATTGGGTTAATTTATCTCCGTGTTATTGTCATGATCTCGCGGGATTGATCCGCAGACGAGAGATGAAAGACCTCCGACAACCACTAAAACACTTTACATTGGATATGATCATGAAAGCACCGTATACAAAAACAAGACCGTGTCATTTCCCTCACTACAAGAAAGCCTTACCGGGAGTAACGAAGGGCCTGCCCCTATACAATTCTAAAAACCATTATGGTCAGTCTATTCTTGTCATGAGAAGGCACAACAATAGCAGAAGCTCCACACAGAGAACACCGCTTTGTCCATGGATGTTTATGGCAGTGGGCCTGTGCCAGAATAAGGAAAGATGCAATTGGGTTGGATTTCACAAGTGGTGTTCAAAGCTCAACTAAAAACAGCCTGAATAAATCAGCAGAGAGAGAGGTTTTAGTTCAGTCATATCAGCCAGGGCCAGTCCTTGACGGAGTAAAAAAAAAACCGCCTCGGAGGTAGTCTTGTTATAGTGAAAAGGATAAATGCGGAAAAATAACCGTTTTCGAACACGCATCTTACAGATGTTTTCTGCACAAAATTTAAAGGCGAAACGCTGTTTGTTTTTCTGCTTTCATGTAAATATCAATCCGCCGTGAACAAGCTTGCTGTGCTGCCATTTATATGGCAGAAAAATCACCAAACGACCCATATTCTGACCAAGGGTAGTCATCAGCCAGAGATCGAATTTTATCAGAAGGGAGAAATTGCAAAGAACTCGAAGAAAAACCCTGATGTGGCAGGAGAGGATCAACGAACAACAGTTACTCTATATTCAAAATATGGACCGGGCAATTCTATATCCAACCCGGTTTCGATGTTGCTGGTGAAATTCACTACTTGAGAATTTCTGGTTGCTAAATTTTAACGATAGACTTTTTCTTGAGCTCATAGCGAATGTCCGGTACATACGCATCCGCACATTATTTCTTGGCCTGAGTACTATTTTTGTACCAGCACAAGTTAACCTGCCCATGTCTCGGAACAAACCGTATACCTCTCGAGTTTTTTATGTGTCTAACTATATCAAGGAAAATCTTCCTACCAGCGAGAATATGGTTTTAAATATGACTTACTGTATGCAGGCTATACCATCGCTCTCTCATTTCCTTCAAAGAATTGAACATACATGGTTGTGTCTAAAATCATACTGGACTGTTTTTCTAGTCGTGCTTTACATTCCCTCTTACAGAACAAAACCTCTCGGTGGACTGCTCCAAAGTACTCCAGTGACTGTTGTTGATTATCACAGCTCGTTCCATGAAATCTGTCGACCGCTTTCCAAACGCACATTGGGTCGACAGATTTCGCGCATTGTGCTTGGAATTGGCCAAGGCTTTGCAATTTGTTGGAGGTGCGCGATTGTGAAATGTCCGTATTGATATTTTACAGTCAAGGAAACCATAACCTAGCTAGCAACGATCATGAGCAGAACCGAGACTCGACGTCCAGGTTATCACTCGAGAAGGGATGGAAGAGAGAAGAAAATGGACACGCTGAAGGTTCTTCTACCGGTTAGGCCCTGCTCCAGGTATGGACCCTATCCGTGGCATCAAAAAGTGGCCTCTCGGGACCGGTTTGTCAATTTTATCCTTGAGCAAAAATCTGTAAAGTCGCTTTCAGCACTCTGCTTAGGATGTCAAGGTGTGGAAATTATACAAGAAGTCACAGGTCTCGATTACATCCCAAAAGTGGGGCGATTTGAGGCAGACAAAGTCCAGTACACAAATGATTTCGAATGAAATCATTGGTAGAGTTAAAAAGGGCGCCACCAGCCTCCCCCACCCAACGATTACAAGTTACACTTATGAAACCAGTACTCAACCTAATGGTTTTGACGAGGAAAAGTAGTACATGTTATCTTTTCAACAACTGTTTCGAGACTTTATGTGACTTTTTGAGAAAAGAATAGACCTTTTTTTCTGGGGAGGTTTACATCACTGAGAGGTATAAAAAGTTGCTCTTCTAAATTCATGAATCACCAGTTTGGGAGGAATATACATGTACCTTTCCATAATCTTGGCCTACAGATCTGATTCCCATTTTTTTTATTTGAGCAGTCATGAGACCAGGAGTGCCATGGACACGACCGGTTTACTTGGTACTCTGGTCTACTCCTTCTTGACTGGCATCTTCTGGAAGGCCAACTTGCGAAGGGGCATCACGGAAGACGCCCTCAAGAGGCTGATGTCCGACAGGGACGCGGCTGTTGTTAACTGCGACAGATTTGAACAACTATGGAGAAACGAGACAGACGGGCGAACAGAGAAAGATGTCTCACTTAAACGAGTCATCTTCAGGTTCATCCGGACCCGTTTTTTGACCGCCTCCGGGATACTGGTGATTGGTCTGAGCAGTGGATTTCTATTAACTGTGAGGAAACAAATGATTTACACCCTTTACCACAGACAACCATTACAAATGTGGCCCTATATGGAACAAACTCATCTAAATCCATCGAAAAATAATAACGAATGTTTACGCTTAATATGACACATTAGACGTTTTTGTCATATTCCAAGTGTTGTTCACTTTTCAGACATCAAAAGTGATAGCTGATGTTTCTGAGCTTTCTCCCACAGGCGTATGTACTTTACACCGCCATCATCTATATGGAGACAGCCGATAACTCCATCGGCTACAGTGTTGCATTGGCATTCTCTATCTTCGGCTCTACAGCGTTACGTGTGATCGGGATGAACTTCATGTGGTACTCCAGCATCCGTACTGCAGTGCGCGTGCGCAATGCCCTCATGCTGACCTTGTACAAAAAGGTGTCCAGGCTTCGCAACACATCAGAAGTGTCAGTGGGAGAGGTAGACCTAAAAAGAAAAATGCTTTCTTTGGCATAAACAATTTCCTCCAAGTTGTTGAGATTGACCTATAAACTTATACGATGCTGCACACTTCGTTCATGCATGTCAAAACAAAGTGTTAACAAAGTATTTGGAGCGTGACAAAATGATATGTACCGGTACATAGTAGAGCCACGTCTGTTCCATGCTAAACGATTGGACAAACGTATCCATTCCCACCCTGTAGATGGTGAATATTTGCGTGAACGACATGCAGCGGCTGTTTGATGCAACAATCTTCGGTCCAATCCTCATTGCCTTCCCATTGGTCGTTCTACTTATTCTGGTTGGGTGTGTGTTGGTCGTCGGGATCGTTCCCACGTTGGCAGGAATAGCGATGCTCATCATTGTCTTTGCTTTCCAGGTTTGGGTTATCTTTTTGTTGCCCGGTTTCACCTGTGCGTCAGTGTAGCCTTTTCAAAGGCGTTTTAACTTTCGGGTTGGAAAAGGAGATATCCATGGCTCTTAGCCTTGAGTGGCTGATCTGAAAGAACATTATTGAAAGCGAGACTCCGAATTTCACCTTGCATATAACAAAAAACATGGAATGGAACATTGATAAATGTTTTCTTCCATCAGAACAGGATTATATTTTGTGAAAGCTTTTCAATTTCAAGACAGTGCGTAGAGTTTCTTGCTAAAATTCGTTCAGTGATAGGAACCTAGCAAACAGCGGTCAATTCATTCTTTCTCCTTATGCCTTCTTATCAATGCACGTTATTACAGACGTGCCTTGCGAAGCTCAACGTACGGACTCGTCAGAAGTGCGTGGTGTATACTGATCGCAGGACTCGCATGCTGAACGAAGTACTGAACTGCATCAAACTGATCAAGATGTATGCCTGGGAGGAGTCTTTTCAACAAAACATAACAGGTAACGTATCAAATACATCTTAGGGCGTTGTACGAACTGTACTGGACGTAAAATGCCCTTTTGGGTGTCTCATGTGTTGTTTTCTCAATCAGAAATCCGCAAGAAAGAGCGAAGCCAGCTTCAGAGATCAGGTTACCTCTCAAGCTACACCCTGGGCTTGGCTCTGTCTGTCTGTCCAGCTGTCATCCTTACCACTGCTATCTGTTACAAGTTGATGGGAAGTGATATCACGGCAGCACAGGTGAGCTTAGTTTGTCTCACGGGAACAAACTGTTTCGTTTTGCTAGAAATAAGCATCACATGACCTTTTCGTTGGTAAACTGCTTTTTCCTGAGTAGGAGAGTCATGAACACCGTGGTATTTGGAGTTATACGTTGCATTCCAAAAGGGTTGTATCATTTCTCTTGACAGGCTTTCACACTGATGCAGTTGTTTGGTTCCTTGTCGACAATCATGTACATCATGCCGATGGCACTTAAGCCAATCACAGAGTCGGTGGTATCCGTTCAAAGAATTCAGGTACGCCTCATTTTACAGAGCTTCTTATTTCTTGTGAAGGGGTTACAGCGACTGGCTGTACAAAATACTGAATATAACGTCATTCCACCATGAAGGAGGTGCGATTTCGTACAATATAAAGAACACCGTGAAACGTGGGGCCGACATGGACTCAACCTCCTCCAGCGATTCTCGGGTGATATTTTGTTAGTCATATTCTATATATGTTTTCTTATGTCTTGACTTTAGCCAATTTTACTGATGAAAGAAGTCAATCAGAAGTGGGGCGTCCCCGCTGATTCAGACCACGCCCTCGTTTTAACCAACGCCTCATTCAGCTGGGACGCTCCGCCCCAAACTACTGCTACGTCAACCAAAACACGGGAAGAAGTGAATGCCAACAGCAAATACACGCTGATGGTGAGAAACACAGAAGATGGTGCGAGTCGAAACAAAGAGAAAAACGAGGATTGTGGGGATGAAACGATGTGGGAACCCAATGTCTCAGATAACCTACTCGACAAAGACACCCTTGCACCCATCCGCACACCAGTCCTTAGAGATATCAGTCTCGTCGTTCCTAAGGTATGCCTAAGCTTGGTATCCTATGAAATTTTGTCCTGTAGGAACTCTTATCCAATTTAGAAGAAAAAATTCATATATAAAATTTCGACATGTACCTCACGTCATGGTTTCTTTACTCAGTCTCATCTCATTGGTATCTGTGGCGCCGTGGGTAGTGGCAAGAGCTCCCTACTGTCTAGCGTCTTAGACCAGATGAACTTAATGGGTGGTATCGTAGCGTTAGACGGTACATTTGCTTACGCATCACAACAGGTTAGTTGCAGTTCAAAGTTCTATTTGCTCCCATTGTTGTAAAGAAAAAGTTCGCCTGGCCTAGGCTTTGAGAATAGTGGAAAATTTTTCGACACCTTAAAGAGAAATACGAATTACAGTTCGTACAAATGTAAGGCTTCCAACTCACTGAGTATTTTTGAAGTAATTAAATCTCAAACAAAAGTAAAGGGCCTGTGCAAAATCCTTGTTAAATAGAGTTTGTGCACAAAATAATTTCATGAATTATTTTTAATCGTGGTCGTAATCTGATTTTATTCTCAGGCTTGGATAATGAATGCAACAATCCAAGACAATATTCTTTTCGGTGAGCCCTTCGATAAGGCGCGATACCAGCAAGCAATCTTCTCCTGCTGCTTAGAGAGAGACTTGGAGATCATGTCAGATGGAGATATGACAGAGGTATATTCCAAAATCCCAGGGCTGGTGTCAATTGAGGGATCTTCACGTCTGAAAGAAGTACATGTATATCATTCTATAGTTACAATAAACGTGTTTAGATTGCGCATCTATTGTAAGAGTTGATCAAGATGCATCCCCTCTGCTCCCCTAAGACCATCTCTACTTCCCAGCGAGTGTGCACCTTAGTGCAGCCATTTCAGGTACAAACAGTTGATAAAACCATAAAGGAAGGAAAAGACGGTACGATACCCATTTACTGATTTAAGCTTGATGGATAGAGGTAAAACGGAATGAAGTAGCTCACCCAAGGTCGCAGTATTTGCCAAGCTGCGGGATTCCAACTGCAAGCCGTGTGATCACACTAACCACTAGGCCACGTGCTCGTCCTAACAGATTATTAGAGACTGCGGGTTCAGTCTATTTGTAAATCAAAACTTGTACTCAGACTTTTTACCCGTACTGATGCATGTTGACATCTGTTATTAGATTGGTGAGAGAGGAGTGAACGTGAGCGGTGGTCAGAAGCAACGTATCAGTCTGGCTCGGGCTTATTACTCAGATAGAGACATCTATCTCCTTGACGACCCTCTCAGTGCCGTAGATGCACACGTTGGCAAGCACATTTTTACCCACTGCATCCGGGGAGCTCTGAGGGGAAAGACAATTCTTTTTGTTTCCCATCAACTCCAGGTAAGATGAGCTTTTTTTACTTCTTCTTTCTTGGTATAGAATTAACGAAGATACGAAGGGGGTGAGTGGATGTTGTATGGCAACTAAATCTTTAATGATTGCAAACAAACTACGTTAGTTTTTGGATCCATGATTGTGAATTTGGTCGATCGTCCCTGGAATTGGCGCACTTGATGATAGTTTGCATTTTTCGAGCTTTCGTCTTTGGAATCGTGACCGTAATTTTTGGGTCTTAATGTCTGTGTTCTTTTAGTATCTCCGTGATTGCGACTACGTGGTGTTGATGCGAGACGGTACAATCGCCGAGCAAGGAACGCACGAAGACCTGATGGCGGCTGGCGGCGAATATGCCCGGCTGATTGACACGTTCCACGGTAAAGGGGAAGGCGTGAACGGGGCTAGTGGGGTCGACGGTCCAGCGTCCCCGAGTGGCGTGGTCATTAATTCAGACAGCGAGGAAGGGACTGATATTAATGGCATAATAGAGAGCGGAAAAGAAAAGCCTGTGGATTACACAAACGAAATTGGTAAGTCTCTATACATCAAACCGAGGCTTTAGAATATATTGAAACATTGCTTTATTAAATGAATCAACGTAACGGTTTAGAAAGTAATATTCAAGCACTTTTGAATATTTACTGGTTACATCAGATAGAGCAAAGATCATTTGTGGAGCGCATGGACGGCACTGTATAGGGGTCCTTGACTTGAGCGTCGTTATGGTCGATTTTTTTAGCTTACTGACAAATTAGTTATTTTTGTGAGGTCGCTTTCCTAGAGTTAACTCAATGATTTTAACGCATATACTTCCAGTAAAATTGATGAACGAGGAAGACCGAGGTAGTGGGATGGTACCTTTTGCTATTTACCGGAAATTCGTCCGCTACGCTGGTGGGCCTTGCCTTGCCATCATCAATGTCCTACTCATTTTCTTGTCGATGTTGGTTAGCATCTCCAAGAGTGTGTGGCTGTCCATCTGGATACAGGAGACTATCATGTGGAGAAATCAAACGGTAGATGGAAGAAGATAACTGCCTAAGAACACAGACTGGTGGCCATGTGTATCGGCAATAACAAGTCTACTTCTCAGACTTGTCACTTGCAATTTAAAAAAAAAAAGTTAATAAGGGTTGTGGGGGGTTTTAGGTGCAAAGGAATCCCAGTGAAGGCACAGTGTGTAACTGTTATAATGACATCGATGCCGTAGATATCTTTGAAATTTGCAAATAAATCTCAGATGATCACATTTCAACCCAAAAAGTTCAATATTGCGATAAAATAACCGGCAAAGTTAGACACATGGCGTGCATCTGTCAGAAACAAGAAATAAAATAAGTCCGAGGCAATAAAAAAATTATCACTAATCCATTGCTACTTAGTGAATTTAAAAACTTTAATTAAGTTCTTTATTCTAAGTAAAACGCATGTGGTTTCCTCTCTAATAAACGAGTGTTATACATTTGCTCCACAGGAGACTATTTTCACAAATGCATCTGAATCACGTGGACCAGCCTATAAGCCCCTCACATACGAGTTGTTCGAGTACCCATACAGCGACGGTTCCGAGGACTCTCCATATCCAGCTGATCCTAAGAAAGACGATCCCACGACCTTCTTTGTGTTGGTCTATATTGGGATATTCTTTCTGTCGCTTATTATACTTGGTATTACCTGCATAGTGTTCATCGCGGTATGTTAATAAAATAAAATTTTGGCTGCTGTCTTTGACCCTAACTTTCTTGAATCCTCCCATTTTGATTTATATCTTTCAACGCAACCATCAGATGATTATATAAATGTAACATGTACCGCTTGCTCAATGCTTTTCCCATTTAGAGCACCAGTTCTTAAACGATTGTCACCCATAACGCTGTGTCTGTTTCATTCTAGACCGTTATCCGTGCAACCACACGTATACATGAATGCCTTCTCCGTAAGATCATGCGTTGTCCTATGTCGTTCTTTGACACAACGCCGCTGGGTCGCGTACTCAACAGGTTCTCCAAGGACATGGATGAGGGTAATGTACAAATAAAAAAAGTCACAGACACCAAATCAGATACCAAATCATCAACTTGCAGTACACTCACGTTTAATACAGAAAATAAGTTGGATTAATGAAATAAAAGAGAAATATTTGATAACCTTGTCTTCCAAGGTTCTGTTTTCGGAAATACAATGCCAGTGTTAATATAACACAGCTGGTGTTAAATTTAACATTGCTTTGTCACTGTTATTCTGTGTGTAATGTCTCATTGCATGACATTTTCTGCCATCTTGCTGCAGTCGATGTGCTACTTCCTACCAATGTGATGCAGTGTCTCATCTTCATCAGTATTGTCATCCTTATGCAAGTCATCATTGCGGTTGTCTTGCCTCAATATCTCATCGCTCTGGTCTTAGGATTACTGGCTGGCTTAGTCTTTTACGTCATGTTCAGGAAGGGCTACTGTGAAGTCAAGCGGTACGACAACACCAGCAGGTCCAAGCTGGTGTCGCATATCTCGGCTACTATGCAGGGGTTGGTTACCATCAGGGCATACGGGCAGGAGAGCCGATTTACCGCCAGGTTTGTGTGTCACAGGGGGTATATTTTGCCTTTTGTTTTCCGGTTTGTAATTATGTGTTTTGTAAATTAAAAGAAGCGCATTTATTTTGATCATGCTATATATTTTGGAACCTTTATTTAACTATGGATTTTTTTAGCGATGTTTCACAGGAAGTTAGATGCTGTGCCGCATTTTGATTGGTTTATAGTTCACCATTCTCCCTATCTGTAGGTTCGAGGAGCTGTTGAACATCAATACCCACATGTTACAGATGTTCACCATGGCTCCCAGATGGGTGGCCGTGCGAATGGACCTTATGGCAGCCGTGTTAGTCGGTGTATTGACGCTGCTTGTTCTGCTTAGTAAAGACAAGATCTTGTCCACGGCAATGGCGGCAATGGCGCTATACCAAGCAGTCGCAGTAAGCAATTAACCAAACTTGATGTAACTCAGCATTTTGGCAATTTTCAAAAGCCAAGAGGCAAAGAAGTGACAAGTCTACTTCAATTCTGTGTTCGGTTATGCATCAATTTATTTTTAGAACTGCAATTAATAAAAAAATTATTTGCCTTGGTGGTTTTTTTTCTGTAACAGGTATGTGGAGGTCTGCTTCAACAAGTGGTTGTTTCTTGTACGCAAACAGAGAGTTCCTTCATCTCAGTGGAGAGAATGCTGGAGTATATCGAGGTATCTGACCAGCCCAATTGTACAGTTGCTGATGCATCTGATGTTTTTCTGCCTGCTGTTCTGTTTTTCAAGTTACAACATTTCAGTGGCCTCTTGTATATATTTGGTTTCATGGGTAATTTGTTGATCCAATTTTCTGGCTCTAGTTTGCTCTTTTGGTTGTTCTATTAGCCTTTTTCGATAGTCTGTGGGTTGGTTCATCTATAAGCGGCTAGTTAAGCGTGTCTTTGCTAGCTCCATTATATTCTATCCTTTAACCTGACAAAAACTATGTCTTTGATAACTTAAAGCCCGTTATGATTATTCTTGGATATCTAATTCTTGAATATCTAGCATACTTTATATTTTGTATCCCGTATATTTGTTTTAAAAAATATTTGAAGATTCTTATAGGCCCCCTAGTGGTTTTAAATGCCAATGTTGCAATCACTCTCAACGTCAGAAAACCCCGTCGGAGGCGGATGCTTGTATACCGTCCACTCGACCCGACGATTCCTGGCCGGCCAATGGAGACCTTCAGTTGCAGCAGGTTAAGATGAGATACCGTCCCGGCCTGCCACTGGTCTTAAAAGGCATCATGTGTCACATCCGTCCCAGGGAGAAGATAGGCATTGTGGGAAGGACCGGCTCAGGTGCGCAGTTATAACAGTAAAGCATAATGTGGTTAACAGGTTAACGTATGCATGGCCCTCATTTGGCGTAGTTACACTGCATGCCACAGCATTTCAACGTTGTTAACAAAGTAACAGTAGACTGAGTAGTCAAGTGTATTACAAATTACACTGATATTGGGATATAATAAGCAAAGCAGAGTCGAAACCTGAAGTTGCTGTACCAAGGGTCTAAAGGAATTCAGACAATGCAGTGGGTTCATTACTTCGTGTGTTTTCTGAACAGGGAAGTCTTCTCTGGGCGTGTCCCTGTTCCGTCTGGTGGAGAATGCCGCGGGGGAGATTTTCCTAGATGGAGTAAACATAGCGAACCTTGGTCTCCATGATCTACGCTCTAGACTCTCCGTCATACCACAGGACCCCGTGTTGTTTGCAGGAACTGTCAGGTAATAGGCCTTGGAGTCAATAACTGGGGCCAGCTGATGAAGTGTCAAGAATATGAACTCTGCCTTTTTCTCTGCTCATCGTGACCTCCAAACACGTTCTCTTTGGCATTTGCGTGTAAATTATTTCGCCTGCTCTGGAATGTTTGCTTCCAGTAAAAATCAGTAAATTTAACTTTCCATATGTAAACTTCAACTTGATCTCCTTTGTAGATTTAATCTGGATCCTTTGAATCAGCACTCGGACGAAGAAATCTGGAATGCACTGGAGAAAGCATATATCAAACAAACAGTAAGTAATGTATAACAATAGCGGCTACTGGGAGAAGATACGGTGTTAACCTCTAAACCTGTGGTCAAGTTGTGATCAGTGAGCTATCACGTCATCTTACTTATTAAATACAGGGATTGCACTCGAGTTTTTTCATTGGTTCCTTGCCATGTTGAAGGAACTATTACCGAATACCAACTGCAATGGGTCTATTATATTCTATAGACTAATCCGATTAGACGTCATAACTGCGGTAGCACCGCACTCACACGCACATTCCGCAGCTTGACGCGTACGTGCATTTGGCAATCACGACACCGTGTTGGTCGAAGCGGCATGTAACGCGCGCGTACCACCTGTCCACGAGCGTTGTGCCACCACAGAAATGGCTTCTGATTTTGCTGGTCGAATTACACTATACAGATTTTTCTCTCTAATAGAAAATACCGCATTGGAGTCTATCCCATTTAGATTCGTCTCGTTTAATACTTTGATCTCGTTTGATACTTCTCTGCTTATCATTATAATTCGGGTTTTCAATGTGTGCTTGCAGATCAGCGCATTGGACAACCAGTTGCAGGCGCCAGTGACGGAAAATGGTGAAAACTTCTCTGTTGGCGAGAGACAACTCATGTGCATGGCACGTGTCTTGTTGCGAAACAGCAAGGTATTTACAGATTAATAAATTTTCATTTTCGTGATTTTCCGCTTCTCCGTTTTCATTCTCTCTTTCTAGTTTATTAGTGTATTGTTTATGAATTTAAAATTAATCTTTTAATTTGTGTACATTTGCGTTTATGCTCTTTTTGTTTGTTATTGGAACAGAAATAAAGTTCCTTCTTGAAAAGTGAAAAAGTAATTAGTGTATTGATTTCCGAATGTGAAATCTTTAGAATGTTTAACTTCATACAGCAGGACTGATCACTTAGGATTGAAGTGTTGTGCAAAAATTCGTAGAAAAATCGGAACGTGAATGAGTAATAACATAGGGCCTATACGAGCATAAACGAAATTAGAGACCCTTAGAGTGATATCTCTTGGCTTTTTACTTCTTTTCTCGGATAACTTCAAATTTCAAAAGCCCCGAAACATTCATCATTATTTTTTTGTCATTTCTGATATTTACCTACCAAACTGAAGGTATTGTTGATGGACGAGGCCACGGCTGCCATAGACACGGAGACGGATAGCTTAATACAACAGACGATACGTGAGGCCTTCAAAGATTGCACTATGCTCATCATAGCGCATAGACTCAACACAGTACTGGACTGCGATCGCATTATGGTCATGGACAAGGGTCAAGTAAGTATGACCGCCACGCTGTCCATCAAAGAGCCCCAAACTCAGTCCAGGTGGACAGAGAAAAGACGGAAGATTTAAAGACGTTACGCTAGATTATGATCAAAATTACTGTTAGCTAATTTGACATGTCCTGATTTTTTCATCAGAGTTTTTATCATACTGGGAATCAGTCCAAATTTGTAGATCTTTGGTGTTTTTCTTTTTTTATGGGTATTTGACCGTAAGTTTGTTCACTAGTAATAGGCTTCGCTATCTAAATATCTATTTTTCTAACTTGAAAGTTTTGATCATCAACAGATTTCTGAATTCGGCAAACCGGAAGTGTTGCTGTCTGATCCCGGTTCCCTTTTCAACAAGATGCTTGCTGCTGCTGAATCCAACCAAGGCAATCTAGATTGATGAAACAAAGAAGAATCTCTCGGAAGGAAATGAAGACCTGGAGGAAATCACCGCTCTTGGAGGAAAGTTGAAACCCCGCTGCCATAGATCAAAATCTTTGGAAAAGGTGAGATCTCTGCTTTAAACTAAACAGTAGTTTGCAAAGATCGATCAGAACTTACTAAACGATTGGGAATAGGCAAGGTTTAGTTTCGTTTAGCGTATTTCTTCAGTTGTTATTACCATATATTTGCCGTTTTCTGCAAAGTTCTCTCTCCCTTTGGTGGAACAGTTTTGTATTTTTTCCAGATTTCTGTACTCCTCAGAAATTGACGTCATGGACGTTGGATTTTATGCTCATGCTTTAAGATTAATATGCAACGCAATGAAGGTTGGTGAATATGAAAGTGATTTGAATTTGATTTTGCTACGCGTTGTTAAATATTAAATAAGATTTGTTTGCAGGATAAAAGGGAATATTGTTCTTAGAAGTTTTTCGGTTTTTAAGTATCGAAATATTTCTTTCTTTGTCACCATATTCAGGTGCTAGCTGATATTTGGCTTATTCTTAATGATTTAGTTTGGTTTAATTAATGTGTTTTAATACTAAATTCTAAGCTTGCATCACTGTAACCAAGTATTTTACTAGTGTCTTCTGAAGTTTATATGTAACAATTATTGCTGATTTACACAGACTTCGACTTTTTCTAGTTCTGGTTATAATACTATCTTTTATTAATTAAATGCACTTTATAAATTTAGGGGAATGAAGCGGCTGCTTTTATTAATATTTTGGAGGACTTTTGCCGGACTCTGCCGACAGAGGGCGCTTTAACAGCTTTTTGTACGTCGATTACTTGGAGCAGGGGGAACTTGGCGTTCAGAGTGTGCATAGTGTATATAATCAGTGAGAACGTTGTAGTTTAAGGAAGTATAATGTTGATGATAAAGTGAGGTAGGCCTACATCGGCGTAAATACCGGGGGGTGGGGAATATATCGCCCACTTTTTGACCGCGGGATGGGCCATTGAATCATGCCCCACTTTTCGTGGTGGGAAAAACTTAAAACGAATTGCAAAGAATTTGTCAGGCTTCCCAACCAACCAAAATGAATTCAATAGCACTCAAAGGGAGAACAATAACAGAAAAAAGCCATAAATATGTCATTCTGATGTAAGATCTGCATGAATGTAATTTTTACAGATGTATAAATCTGTATCATGAATATCCACCCTATGGGCGTGTAGTGTCATATGGTGTAATCCCCCTTTATTTCTATGGTCGGGCAAATAAACCCCCTCACAACTCCCCACCCCTCCCCCATGCCCCGACACAAATTTACACCACTGAAGGGATGAACAAAATATGGAATGTTTAGTTCTTTTTTCCCGGCGTTTGGCAGTATTTTGGTGACGCAAACTTGTCGAATATTGCTGTTCGAGTAAATTAAATCGATATCGGCCAACGCCAGTTCAGGAAGAAAATGGTACTTGACTTTGTTGTTTCCTGTATGAAATAAATGCAGGCCAACACTGAACTTGTAAAAGGTTAGTCGGCCAAAGTAAGCCGAGTACGTGGTTTCCGGCATCGTAATTCTAAGCTCGAGTGGTCACACCTCGCGTGTGGTGACGTCTGTGTGCGTTCCATAATTGTTATAGTGTTGGCAAATAAGCTCTACCAACACTGGATGTGTACTTCGACACTTAACATTCAAAACGCTACCCAGACGCTCATCTTCACTGCAACGTGTCTCTTTAGCTAGTGCAGTGTTAGTGCACGTTGGCCTGTGTAACCTTGAATTTGCATTAATTGCTGTAAAAGTGCGTTTGAACGCCTTGCATAGGGTGCAAGGAAGAAAGATAGCTACGTGTGAAGTGGAAGAGACCAATCACTTGCCTTGGTTGATGCTGTGACATTATGCTGTACCATTTACACATGCGTACTTCCTCCATATTTGTAACCAGTGATGCACGAAAATGTATTAGGCCCTATGTACCTTGTTCTGAGTTGAATATTGGACATAAATAGCCCGTTGCTCGTTGGTGCCAAACAGCAAACTTGGAATCAGATTTATTTTGAATGATTTCTGCCGTATAATATTAGTAATAGAGTTAGAGATTTACTCTATGTTTCAAGTTGTTTCCTTTCCTTACAGTAAAAAAAAATGGGAAGGTCAAAATGAAGTAAAAGGCCATAGAGAAAATGAAACTTCTTTGCTATGCCACGGTGCTGCATAATACTATACGTGATAACATCATAACAATACCTTTTGTTTTCTGTTTCATTGACCCCGGAAGAAGTTGACATAAAACCTGTTGTTGATTTTGACCTGACACATTTTCCTGTCAGGATAACGTGTCGGATTTCTTTTTTTTTTTCTGTTTTCTTTTCTTATTTTGGGGAGGGGAGTTGAATGAAATCTCAGTACCACTATGTGGTCTTGCCAATGACCCAGAGGGAGCGTTTTTGAATAATAACGATAAACATGTTTAAAGCATGCCTAGCCAACGTATTTTCTATGATCTGAGAAATAATATTGAACACCTTTTTCGACGAAGACGTCTTTGCAGTTGTTTGTCTTTCGGCTTTTATTGCTAGCATTCATTTAGGAGACCTCCATCAAGTAAAAATTCTACACTGTAATAAGCTGAATGAAGTGCAATATCTTTTTATTAATTTAACTCGAAATCACCAGCTTGGCTCCCAGCAGAACTTCGTAAAATACTAAAAAAAGGCGACTTTACGACACTGTATGAGATGATATTGTGACATCCCGAATTGGAATTCGGTGTAACACACACAACACGCATTAGGGCCCTACGTGTTTTTTTCAGCTTGAGTCTACGTTCAGCGCAATTAGTGAACAGCTCAGAGGAGTTTATTACTGTACTTGACCTTTCACGGTCCTTGAATAAAAAGAAAATTTGCTGAGGACAATCGCGATTTATACGCTATACTTGGCTCGACTATTCTTTATGTTGGTGCTCTAGGTAGTTATGAGGCGTTGCGCGTGAAGTGTAGGGCATATTTGGTGAATGCATGGTTGATTTGTTGTCTTTTATTAACCATTCTCACTGAAGCAAACACGACGCATCACAAGGGTCAAGTCGCATGTTGGGGTCATCCTTGCAAAGTCAGCAGTGAGCGTGGGGTTGGCTAATTGTGTGCTCTGCTTTGGCGTTGGAAAAAATAGAGGCCAGTATTTCTTCAGGTGTGTAAGACCAAAGTGCATTTTGTGAGTGTGTTTATTACTCCGAAAACGCAGGATTTTCCGCATATAATGTCCCACAGTGCGAGATTCGGAATAAAAAAATCTTAGTGATCCCTTACAGAGGAATCCAGAAAGTTTAAGCCAAGTTTTCTGGGTAACCAATATCTAAAGCAAAATAGAAGTTAAGCAAAAGCCTTTTGTGTAACGAACTTCAATATTTGTTTCCAGCAAACACATTTTTTTTGCATTAATTATACAGTTGGTGATTAAGCCTTTTGATTTTGAGGTCGTCCCTTAGGCTACTGAGTTGAGTAGCCTCGTAAGTGAGACATGGCAGGCCCCTATCTTGAAATTGACATTGTCTATCACACCGTGCGAAACTTACAAGATTGTTCGTTGACAAGGGTTTACATGCTAAAGAAACCACAGTGTCAACGTACTCCATCATGCACTGGCAACAAGATTTAGTATATACAACAATGACCTTGCTTTTAAGTTGGCATGTTTAATTTGTCACCTAACAAACAACTACACCGCCGGAGGGAGTCAAAGGGGTCAGTAGAAACAAGGCGAACTTTTCGCGTTGGATAAGAAAACGATCAACAAATACCACAGGCGATAAATTTGAATTTGTTGTGATTTTTTACAAGGATTGGTTGAGAGTAGCTTGAGAATTAAGCGAGGTTTTGCATTAGACTACACTTGCGTTTAGGTCGCTTGCATTCGTTAAAAGTTCTCAGACCCATAGGGGTTGTAGTTTGCCTTGACTGAAGTTGAAGAACACGTGTGAATGATACCATCAGAGTCTTGGCGTCTCCTTAGGCAGATGGCAATATCTTGTCCCTTTATGCAATCTTTTCTTGCACAACAGTCAGGGAATAGGCAAAGTACTTTTCTATGGGAGAATGCCCGGGTTTTATTGCCAATCTTGAGAGGAGACTATAGTCTTCACGCCTTGTGGTAACTTCCCCTGTTGAAATGTAAGATCATAGGCGTCAATCGGAATTTTCCCGGGGGGAGGGCCACCGCTCTTTCTGAGTGGGAAATTTTCCAGGGCGCAAAGCCCTCAGTTAATAAAAAAAAGGGCTAAAATATTTAAAAAGTAACGACTGAAAGGGTCCATTTTGAGGGTTTTCAAGCGAATTGTGATTTTCATCGCCTTTCTCGTTCATTTCTTGAGTTTTTCCCTCCTCTTTTCCTCTTTGTTGTTTCCCAGAGGCAAGCTTCCTTGCCCCCCGGACTTAACTTCCCTTTGAGAAAAAATTTCCAGAGTTACGATTATGGCCTTTATCGTTATCCTGTTACCACAGCGCGTTCTGTAAAAACATTGCGCTCCGTGCACAGCTGTGCTAGAGAGGGCTTCTGTTATCCTGAGCAGTTTTCGATATGCTACTGATCATATGCAAACATGACCGGCCTACTCTGCTTCGCACCTACATACCCGGTTCCTAATTTTCCTCACCTTCGACATTCCATCAACTTTTGCTATTCCGAGTCGAAACACTTGCTGGGAGCTACAAGAGGCGCTGGTAATATTCTCTGGGGGGGGCAAAGATCGGCATCGAATATCACCATGTAGGTGTTTTCGGTTGCAACGTCCAATGTGAACAAACTTGAAAATGTCCCCATCGAGTGTTCTAAACCTTTTATTGGCCTGCATAGTATACACAAAGGACAAAAGAAAACGACGTGACGTGTAATTAATTACAATAAAATCTAATCTACAATTTAAATAATTCATGCTGGTCCCATACACTTTACAGAGCCACATTTTTGAACTGTTTACTTTAAAAAGCAATATATAATTCATGGAATATTCCTCGTCCGAAGCACTGCCCCAGCGACCATCTATCATTATTTGGAGCTTGCAACAGAATACATGTATTCTAAACGTACGACGCGCTTTGTGGTGTCCCATTACACTCCTCGAAGCCCGTTCTTTTTTGTGTACTTTTTGGCGCCATGAATCGTTGGTGCCTGGCTCCATTGTCATGGCAACCCCTCATCATCTCCGGTCAGTGCAGGCTGGACCATACTTTGGTCAGATCAGCTTCTTGTCTGTTATTGAAAAATGGAGGCAGGCAAACACTTAAATCGATCATCCGATGACACCAAGGATGATAATTCGACGGAAAAAAAATGAAAAGGAGGAAATAGGCAAAATTATTCTAAATCGACTCATAAAAATCTGTGACATTGAGCTAAACAGGAACTGTTTTTCCCGTTTTTCATTATGTTTGTGCTTCGTTCATAATTTAGCTGAAGATGAGTTTACAGGGTTTATTTTTTATCTTATATGCTCGTCGTAATAACTTGACACTTCCTAACTAAGTGCGTCTAATTCGTTAAGCCAATATCTGCAACCTGAAATGATCCCATGTCTTTTGGAAATCTTTGCGTATTCCGGTGAGCTATTCTAGCCAACTTTCCCTCATTTATAATTTTCTCAGATGTTGTGAGCCGAATCCTTATAAATGTTTTGACATTGTTATTATTACTAATTACGATCATGAATCTGTTTTTCCAACCAGTGACTGCATGTACAGCTTGTGCAAAATACGTCATTATAGATGGGCGGGGAATCTAGTGGCATGACCAGAACACGCAATTTACTTTCTAAATAATTACCTATTATTTTAATTATTGCCAGACTGCAGTTTATAGAATAACTTCGTACATTCCGAGTGTTTCATACGAGACTAAATATTTGCATTCAATAGTACATCATCTGATTCAACTCGTTCTTGATGAAGCGTTGAGAGGTTTTATGGAACATTTACTCGTAGGGTCCGAGTCGACGGTGTTAAGTTAAATTAATTTCAGGTTAATTTTTCACCAATGATATCACGGAAGTGGAACAGAGACTACTTCCTTGATACATAAGATATAAGCTCTGCACGGTTGCTGGTAATTATGCTGGTAATGTTGGGCGGCAGTGGACATGTACAGAATCAGGCAATCTTTTCACAAAACTGATAACTGCATAAATGAAGATAATGACAAAATGGTTGCTATTGCGATTTTAAGAGACCCTCAGTTATTCATGCGGTATATTAACTCTAAAAAAGGTTCACCTTAGATGTGTATCGGATCTTCTGTGTTGTATATAACTAACTGGTTGAATTTTCGTTAGATAAATTTTTGATCATATTTTTATTCTGGTTGTTTGGTTTTAAAAAGGATGTTTTAAGTGAATAAATGGTTACAAAGCCCACAATTTCAGCCGAATATAAACCATAGCAACGGTACATACACTTTATCTTCACCCCAGTTGAAGCGTGTCATACTAAAACTAAGTGCAGCTTTGAGATACATTCAAGTTGGTGCAACAATATAAGACTAGTCCATAATAATTGTTTTCTCATTGTCAGTCATTTCACTAGAGCGAAACTATCAGTAAAAGTAAATATTTATCCAGATTTTTTATTTGTTACAGTTATTTCTGATCTTTCGGTTGTCCCTGCTAAATCGTTTATAGGTCAAAGTGTGGACCCCTATCGGATAGGTTTACACACTATACGTGTCGATTTGTTAGAGGAAATGAAACTGGCGGCCTTGCCGCAGGCTGCCAGAAATGGACCGCTAACAATAACAACTTTGAACCTGAGGCATGCACGAGATGATAACTGGAAAGTTAGAGAAAAACTAATACCCAGTCATCCATGGTTGGACTGAACTTTGTCCCAAATTCTTACTTGTTCATTGTATTTTAATTGCACGCAGTTACCATGACAAAAGATTCGATCGACCGTAGGAAACTGGTTTCCACAATCTCATATCTACTTTCATCTATGCGGGTTGCGGACATCTAAGCAATCCAACTTGCTAGTGCGTGTCAATTATTTGCCTTTGAAAGGCTTGATTTTATTCTCGAGTTGGTTTAGCAATTTCCCAGGGACAAAGGAAATCGGTTGAGCGGAGCGCTGGGAAGAGTAGGCGGGGCATAGTTACTCATCAACCCCGCGACATCAGCTGCTGCACGTGCTCTCACTAGTTGGCCCATAACACAAAAGCGGACGATATTATTACATCGCAGGCATTACTCATGCATACTTCGCAGATCCCTTTCAACCATGACCTAGGCTGCGACACTGACAGTGAACGTGGTGTTGGAAAAGAACGGACTGCCTGCCTGGCGTTTATTTGTGTAAGGGAAGAGCGGTGTGTCGTCAGGGAGTGCATTGCAGTCATCTCTGCAACAGCTCCATCGCTTGGCTGAGGTCAGCGAAGATTCCACGGGCGTTGACGGACGATCTGTTGATGTTTTCGGGAAATCTACGATCCCGGCATCTTCTTTTTCGTTCTCTAAAAATGATGCAGGCGAGTGATGCTTCAGTGCTTATATGATTAGCAACAGTGTAACTGATTACATGTGCATGACAGTCGATCCCACATGTCGAACCGGCTGTTGTATGGCAGACTTCCAGCAAATGCTCCTCGACTGAACGTTCATGCGCAGACATGATGCTATAGGACAGCAGTTGCATTCAATATTGCTTTTGTCATTACAACGGATATCCACTATATTAAGGTGAGTAATAGACACCACATAATATACATGGAAATAAGCCTTTTTGCGGTAGATAGAGGTTTCATTATTGTTTTGCAACCACGAAAGTAGTCTATTTTTATGCGAGCTTAGATCTCATCGTCGTGAAGTGACGATAAACTAAAAGGTTAAGAAATTCCAATTTCACAAATTGGTGAAAACCGAGTATCGTCAATGGCAGAACAACAGTGTTCGATGTCATATTCACTTTAATATTATTCATCCTTTAGATTTAACAGGATATTGCAATATTATATAAAACGTAATGCGTCCTGTTACTTTGTTCTTGTCATCGCTATGTTTATTAGCCTGATCACGTTATTGCAACAAACAGTTCTTTCACTGCATGTACATATATTGCTTCAAAAAGTTTACGTTTACGATTTCCAATGTGCTTGAATTTATTTTACATTTATTTAAATGTTACGACTTTAAGTTCGCATCCTTACATTTTACATCTTTAGGGAAATACAAAAGTATAAAAAATGAACAGACATTGTTAATGATAAACAATGTATAAAATTGTTAGAGTAAGATTATATCATTAAGACTCCGAACATACTGATAGATTATTTTTTAAAAGATACAAGTATGTACAACATAGAACCAACCCTTCAGACATTACGTTGCATTCCATGCACTGTTCGAACAGTTAATTTTTACGACTGTCGATATCCATGAATTACATCAATTCAATTTTACGATTTTAAATTTGCACAACCTTGAATTAAAATGCATTTTATTCATCTTTAGAATATCTTTTCATCTTTAGATATGTTCATTTCAAGTATAAAAATATTTTTAATAATGAACATTTTTGCCACAAACAATGTATACTCATTTCTACAGTAAGATTATAATCAAAACTCTAAACACGAAACAAAAGCGACCAGCGTTACTGCAAACGTGAGATTACTCACAATCAAAAAAAAAAACAGCCAACGAACAAGCGCAAACAAACAAAATCATAGCAACTGGAAAATGTGCACATTTTGATATACAGAAGAATATTAGCAAATGAACAGAAATATTAATACAAAGAAAACGAATTATAGTAAATCTCGTAACGGCGTAAAAGCTGGAGTAGTTTTTGAAGTCGAAAATTGGTCCATATTTGTTAGGTTGTTCCACCATATTAACGACTATTCCCAGCAAACATGGCCAGTGAGAACAAGGCTGAAGACAGCCGGGAACCTAAAGTCATATACAAGGGACCAGGCTACGCTCGCATTTCGCAAGATGGGGAACCTATCGGCGATACTGCTGGAAAGAAGACTAAGAAGAGAGGCAGAGGAGATACGCTCAAGGTCCTATTACCCATCAGGGTCAAGTAAGTACAACTCCCCAGTTCAACGTCAGTGGTTCAACTGCAGATACGAATTAAATAAATCTGTCCAAGATCCAGAAGGATTTCATCAGAAGTCTTTTATGAATTCTGTTTAAAAGTTGTCTAACTCGGGTTATATGGATACTATTTGGCATTTTACCCTATTAAGATCCTGCTTTCAAATGAAGGATTCAACTTCAAGTGTAGACGTAGAATCAAGCGCTATACGAAACTGCAAGTGAGAGAAACGTAATCTGCTGAAGAAGCAGTCCACATATTGAACCTTGTTGGATTTAATAAGAAAAACCAAAGTTGAAAAAAAGTTAGAAGGTAACGTTTGACGTGTGACTTGAAAGTGATATGATAACTTGTGTATTCCACGGTGACTCGTGACGACACAGTCAGCTTTGAGGAATTCTTTTTACCCGTTGCCTGGGTGTTTATTTTACATTGACGTTGTCCATGAACTACATTCGTGTTCCCTCAAGCCTGCAGAGCGTCTCTGATGCTTACGTCATAGTTCTTAGAAAAGTGTCTCGTTTTATTCCATGGAAATGAATCAACAACACTTTGACCCAAACACAGTGACTCTGACTTTGAAACCAGGGCACGAAAAACCACAGATTATCAGATCTGTTTTCATCGATCGCTTAGCCGGACATACGGACTTGGTAATTCAAGTTGTAAAAAAGAAAATTGTACGAATCGATCCTGAATGAGGGTGACATGAGCGGTCATTGACACATTAATGTAAACTACATTAAAACAGAATAGCTGTTGAATATCACTAGGTATACTGGCGGCTTATTGAAACAAGTGCGGTTTGGTTTTCATTAAGACGGATGTCACTGTAAACGAGCTAGTTTTGAGAAATGGGATATTATTGATATTATTGATTTAATTTGCTGATATGCCCACTTCAGACAGGACAGCTGAATGCGACCAGACTGACGATTAAAATAAGAAGGTAATGATATAATCACTGGGCATGGGCGTCATGGGAGGGGCGGCTCCCCCCTCCCAAAAATGAGAGAAAAAAGCGAGAGAAACGAAAACAAGGATCGACGAAAAAGAATGAAAATAGGCGAGGCTGACTGCCTCGGAGTTGACCTTCTTTCACAGTTAATGGCCATCGGCTAGCTGCAAACACGTGCTCCCCAAAAGTTCCCCCTCCTCCCCCGGGAAAAATCTTGGAGACGCCCATTCATACCAGTGGATCGCGTCCTTCAGATCTTGGACTGTGATCTCACCACATAATGTCGGTGAACCCTATACTTGCTTAATGCACTTTATTTTGGACCGGATATTTCTACTCCTGAAGTTTCTGTAATAATGGTTTTCACAAATATATTCTGAGCACATCAACCAAGCGTTTATGGGAGGAGTTTGGGTACAATGAAAAAACTTCAAAACTTCTTAAAGGCAAAGGAATGAGCTATTTAAAAAAAAACGGAGTGTGCAGAGTATGACTATCATGTGCACATACCAAATTTTTGCACCGGCCGGGGTTCAATTCCATTCTAGAACTGAATAAAAAAGGCATTTATCAAAGCCCAGAGGATGATACCATATTACTTGATACTATGAGATTATTAATTTTGCTTCATCCACTCCAAGTGATAAGATAGCTTGAGTTTAACACGGCTTCTTTCTACCTTGCAAGATAATTATGACATATTACGCGAAGATACCTATCGAGTAAGCAAACGTGATGGGGGTCGTTTGTGGAGATAACGGTATGTCTGAGTTGTGTCGCATGGAGGGAATTGTTGACACGAGGATGGGTTGTCAAATATGATGTTAAGCACAACAACTATTGCGACACGATGGGAGATTCGGGGCTTTTGTCACGACACTCATGCATTACTAAGATACGGTCTCTTCGCGGACCGTGAACTGAATAAAGCACAGGTGTATGCTTGGGGGATGGACTGGTCATGACTGTGTTCACGGCTGGGATTCATGACATAGTTAGAGTTGGTGGACAAAAGGTAGCTCATTGAAAAAAAAATGGAGTCACGTTCTGAAGAGTTTGTTTGCATTGGAGCAAATGCAACAGGTTAGCCTCGGTCAGAAAATGTTTCATGTCTGAAATAAATACCAAGCAGTTGTTACCGAGTCCTTGTTATGTTTAATTTCTTTTTTCTTCTTTTTTTTTGCAAAAAACAAAGACGCGTTGGGATTACCGAACAAATGAAATACAAATATTTTGAAGTATTGTATCTACTTGTATACTTCCATCTATCGGAATAAAAGTGTCATTTTTATTAATGGGAAATTTATCAAGATGTGGCGTCGTCTTTGCAAGTGCTCCAAATTACGCTGACATCAAGGGCAGATCTCAGAACCAAATGTAGGGGGGAGTTGTTTATTTTTTGAGGGGCAATATATTTTGAAAATTCCTTCAGGTAACCTCTTATATCTTGTCTGAGGGTTGAGGCTACATTTTGGAGCTTGTGCGTTTGGAAGGAAAATGACTTTCTCTTTAAAAAAAAGGTTTTTTTTTGTTTGGGCTATGGACCCTGTTGGACCCCCTGGATTCTCCCTTTAGTTGGCTGACGTGACACGCAGACAATTCAGTTGCCAATCGTAGTAGAATGGTTCTGTTGTTGAGAATTCTTTTTCTCCAAGATTTAAGCCAAGACGTGGAAACATTTTTCCTGGGCTTGTTCAACAAAGCACCCAAAACATTCGTCTGTTTGCATTATTCCCGGGCCCGCGAATTCAACCGATGATCCTTTCAAAACCTTGGCGTCGGGCAGAATTAATGGCCATTACAGCTTTTCGTGTTCCCCAGACAAATTTTCTGAATTCTATGCACTGCATTCACCCCAGGCAAAGTGCGTCCAAACGAATTATTCTTTGAAAGGAAAAAGTACATTGCAGGTAACAGAACGTTTTGTATATACTTACAATGAGACACCATGAATGGCTCTGAATGTAAGCGGGCCGTGTTAAAAAAAACAAGCTTCAAAATTACATGAAGATATAGAAACTGAATAAAATGTTGTCTTTACAGAGCAAAATCAGTTCCAATTCTGTTCATCCCATTCTATGTCGGATGTGATTATCATCAATTCGTAGCCTGAGGTTTTCTGTCTGAAGATTAAGTCCTAAAACATAATTAGCCAAGACAGAAGGTTTTATTTTACCCAGCTAACGATGAATCAAATCTAACCAGAAGGAAATCCCTTGGGAAGAACTTGTAATTGTCTTTTAAGGCAAGAGAACCGAAGTTTTTATTGGCTCTACCCCACACCCAGTAGGGGAATACGGGCTAGGGACATCCATTTCTACGGATTCTGTGCATCCAAAAGTGGGGTGGAGCAACCCCCCATTCCTTGAACTCCACACCCCCTTTGAAGCGGCCGCAACAGAAGTTTAAATGTGAAAGTCTCATAAAGGAATGCACACTGTGTAAAATGCACATTGCCAATTGAAGGCCAAAGCATCAAAACTTTTGTTTAATTAATGTACAGTACATGTACACCAGTACTGTTTTGTCAATTTGACTGGTCTCAAATCAAGTCGTATCTTTTGCCATTTGACTCATTTTATCCAGTGTTATTATTTCGACTTTGAAAGGGGGAGTAAAACTCGCAGTGAAATGGACACCTCTGGCCTGATCAGCACTATGCTGTTCTCTTTCTTCACCACGATTTACTGGAAGGCCTTCCGAAAGGGGATCACCCAAGATAGCTTGATGCCACTCATGTCTGACAGGGAAGCAGCCAAGGCCAATTGTGACAGGTAGGTTTATGCAAGGACACCTTGCAGGAGCTGCGCCATACCCATGTTTTTCTTGCAAGCCATCAACTATCAAACCCCCCCCAAAAGACAGAATTCGGTTCAAGAGAAAAGTATTACAAATGCTGGTTTAATGCAGTTTGCAGTGAAAGACATTTCATTGTATGTACAATATCCAAACTTAGTGATAGGTCCATTCCCGGTTTCAATGCTTACAAATTACTACACGTGCTTTTAGCTGAAGATTTCAAGCATTCAAAGAAAAAGGCGCAGACTTCTGAATTAGTTAAAGGTGTCTTTTGTAATAAGGGGTTTATTTCCTTATCCTCACCTACATTATTCTTTGTAAAGAACTAGGTCTGAAAATATCATTGGTTAAGTAGTTCTTTGTAAAGAACTAGGTCTGAAAATATCATTGGTCAAGTCGGAGAATTTGCCATGTTTTCCGAGGTAATTTTTTTTTACCACGATTCAACTGCAAAAAATCAATTTGTTGAGCAACCGACAATTGCCCACATATATTAGGTATCTGCAATATTGACAAGCTCCATTTTGAACCTACATGTATTTATGACTGATCCGTCCGTAATTTTATTTACACAAACTCTAAAGGATTTTCTTTGGATTTTCAACCCCGTTGTGCTACATTTCGTTTCAGTCATTTTCCTGCGCATTCTCAAGTGGTACGCCTACTCATTCAACGGGGCAATGTCCAATACGTGTCGTAAAAATTTGGCAAGCGAAGGCCAAAAGCTGGCCTTGGTTTAAAGAGGCTCTGCGTGGTTCGATGTACGCTGAGTAAAGTTTCAGTTCCTCATTTATACCGAGTGATCGACTCGCGGTTCCATCCATCCCCGCCCGCCGAACACAAGTTAGAGAAATAATCCGCAAGATTTTAGACGATAGAGGGCGCTGTTAAGTAACAATTTAGCACAGCACGTGCATGATGACAGGTGACCGTGAGGCACCTGGCCCTCTTCCTAATTTCTGAGTTCAAAGTTCTTCTGTTTTCTGTCATGAGATGGCTGGGAATGTTTTTCTTCCCCACTTATGGGATATGCTGGCCCGTTCCTGGTTTCGCCCGAAATCAGGCATGTCAGGTCCTCATTTGTTGCTACTAGTACTAGCCGCATCAGATCATAAACATGCGCGGTAGCATTCGGACCGCATGACCCTCTGTAGCCTCTAACCATTAGTCTAATCCTGTAAGATCCTTTGGAAAAAATTCCATATACGGACATCACGCTACACCCCACTCACAAACCATTGAGACTAGTCTGAACAAATCTAGTTTTTTAGCTTAAATAGATCTATTTAAATTGATGTTCTTAAAAGTAATGGCTGATACCATTATACCATGTCTCTTACTTAGTCTTACCACAAAATACAGTCCCCTACTTAAAAACCCGTCCTTTAATTCTGGTAATTTTTGATGATTTTTAACTCATAAATATTGGTACCCATTTAACCTTTGACCTGTTCAGACTGGAGCGGTTATGGCAAGAGGAACTGGACAAAAAAGGAGAAGAGGCGGCATCTTACAAGAAAGCTGTCCTCAAATTTATTCGAACCCGCTTCGTCATGTCATCCCTTTCCATCGTTGCCTCATCCTCCGCTGGTTTTCTTCTGACGGTAAATTCATTCTGATTCCATTGAAATGAAATCTGTGAAAAAAAGGAGCAAACTGTGTAATAACCATAGTGGCCCAAAATAAAAATAGTAATCAGTTAACTTGAAAACTTTTAATCAATAAATTTGCCATACCAGAACTGACTGGTTTCTTTTGAAATCCTCATTTGGCTGAGCAGAGCAATGAATTGACTGAACCTTTATTTGACGTTCATTATGTATTTCTGGTATGTAGTATGATGGTCACTATGAAACCAATAATTCCATAGAGTCTGAGAATCTGAAGAAATCTGAACAGAGAGGACAACAGAAATTCTGAGTCATAGAAGTTGAAGGAAAAACCCAAAATAGACATAGGGAAACCACCATCAAGTCCGGTGGCGATTGGAAACCCAATCTATACACATGATCGCCTGGGTGGGATTCGAACCTGCAACACAGAGATGTACGGAGTGGAAAGTAACACTGCACCAATGACTCCAAGTAAAATTGGTTTCACCTTGTGTATGTTTGTTTGTTTGTCTCCTCAACAGGCATACCTCCTGTATCAAGCTATAATTTACCTTGAGAGCACAGACGATTCCGTGGGTCAAAGCTTGTCACTTGCATTCAGCATTTTCGGCGCAACCGTTATGCGCGTTTTAGGTGGGAATCTCTCCAACTACTTGAATGCACGCAGTGCAGTGCGCCTGCGCAGTGCCGTCATGATGCAGCTATACCGGAAGGTTACACGATTGCGCACTACATCCAGAGTGTCCGTTGGAGAGGTAATTCCACTAGAAATCTCATTCCTCATCATAACAAATACATTTGATTTACAAGTTTACACTCCTAAACAGTCAACTGAAACTGGTAAAAAAAAATGTGCTGATACAAAGAGCATGATACTTTGGCTTAATATAATCTGGTTTGGCTTAGCATTTATTTATTTGTGTTTATAGCCAGTTCCTCAAAGGAACAGATTAATGATTACTAGCCTCGTTTGTTTTGGCTTTCCTTGTGTATGAAAGAAAAAGTGAGTAAAAAATGGCAATTAAACTAACTTTGTAAACAAAAACATTGCTCTAGTAATCAAACTACTTTGGTATTTGTATTTCTTTTAGATGGTTAACATCTGCGTGAATGACATCCAACGGATGCACGATGCAATCATATTTGGACCATTGCTGTTTTCTTTCCCATTATTTATTGTGTTCATCATCGCTGGTGTTGTCATCGTTATCGGTCCGGTTCCCACCATCGTTGGAGCAGCTACTTTGCTCTTCTTCTTTTGCGTACAGGTTTGATGCCTTTCTGTCAAGAACGTTTGATCCATTCTCCACATTTACCAATAAAGGCTCAACAAGCGAACCTGACGGGTTTCAATATTTATAAACTCGTTTGAAAACATTACCTCAATTATTGACAGGACTAAACATCATTAACAGTGTTTGTCAGTGATTTTGAAGTGTCATTTATACTGATTGATATTTGAAATAACAGAAGTAATCAGTCAGAAGGATTGATCGATTGATTCAAACAAAACTTTGGACAAAGATTATTGAAAATAATAGTTTAAGCTCGAAAGTGGTATCTATGACTAATTTGTTGGTAACTTACATTTTGACCAGAATCTGAGTGATAAATGGAGGATCATATTTCCTTTTTGAATGAATGATGACAAATGTGCTTGCTTACTAATAATCTCTCTATTATCTCTCTATCTAAATCAAGACATGTCTTGCCAAGGTCAATGTACGACTTCGCCAGAAGTGTGTCGTGTTCACAGACAAAAGAACTCGCTTGATGAACGAAGTGCTTAACTGCGTCAAGTTGATCAAGATGTATTCCTGGGAAGAATCATTTGCCAAAAACCTTGCAAGTAAGAGCAATTTGCAAACCATTTCCTAGATTTATACTTCAGATCAAATGTTTTCTTTTATTTCAATAAATAATTCAATTAAATATGTCGCTCTAGCAGAGCATTTATCTCAGATTTTTAGCTGTGTAGAAAAGTGCAGCAGGCTGTGCAGAAATGTTGACCAAATGTGGCTACATTGCTTCTTCATTCCGTTGTCAATTATCGCTATGCTTTCATCTCGTAGATATTCGATATAATGAGAGAAAGTACCTGACGCGTGCCGGTGTTCTGCAGAGTTTTACAATGGGATTATCTGTTACCATTGGACCGGCTGTGGTACTCATGTCTGTCATCACATATACCCTCCTTGGAAATGTGATTACCGCTGCTCGGGTGAGTTTCTGATTGAATGTGGCTATATCTTGTGTCTCCTCAGCCTTCTTTGGAGGTGACAGATGGTCACTGTTTAGGATTTCAGTGTAAAAAAAGGCTGGTTATGTCAGCTTGTCACAACTTTCACAAAAAGATAAGTGTGTGGATTTAAAGAAAATGAATGTACGTGTATTGTTTTTGACATCCCTTTGTAAAATGTTGAGTGATAAATTTTAACTCAATTTGAGCTGATTTTCGGGAATGTTTTTGTTTAATGTTTAAATAATGCCTTGCTGGTAGACAACATGTGCACCAGATACTCTTTATTTTAAATTGGGCAAGCTGGCATCAGCCCGGTTTTGTGAGGAGAGGGCTTGAATGATGAACCCATGGTAACAAACGTAGTTAAAAGGTTCAGTTGATACAATTAATTGCTTGGAAACTTTCATATTGCCGTGATGCACACTCATTGTTGAGTCTGTTTTGTTCAATAGGCTTTTACCTTGCTTCAACTGTTTGGTAGTTTGACTTCTGCACTCTACGTCCTACCATTAGCTATGAAGCCTATTTCAGAGTCCATTGTGGCGTTCAAACGAATCAAGGTAAGGAATTTGACTACAAGATTTGATGTAGCAGACATCATGTAAACATTTTGTTTAATAAGTGCTTAAGTGAAGTGAAATACTGCACTGAAAATGAAAATTGTTGTACAAAATAATTTGAGACAAATTTTTCCATATATTCAAATTGGAAAAGTGAGTGGTGTAGTTGCTTCTCCACAACATCAAACTTTACATTTTAATCTGTTGCACTATGTGACATCTTGTTGCTGTGGAAACCAGCCAATTTTGCTGATGGACGAGACCACTCGTGAATGGAATCCACCTTCAGACCCTGAACATGCTGTGGAGATTGTGAATGCGTCCTTCAGCTGGGATGCCCCGCCTACTGAAGAGAATGACAACACAGTCAACGGGCCCAGTGTGGATGGAAAAAGCACCAAGTACAAGCTGGTGAATGGGGACAGAGATGAGAAGGAAGATGCAGAGAAGGGAGTCAAGGAACAAGACGAGAAGGATGCCACTGTCTCAGATGGCTTGCTAGAAAACACAGGCGAGACACAAGGACCTACGATTACACTGAAGAGCATCAACTTGGTTGTCCCTAGAGTGAGTCTTCATACTCAAAACATTCAATTTAACAAAACCAAAACAAACAGAACTAATCAGCATGCACATCCATCATTGCCATTAAAATCCATTAAAATCCATTCAGAATTTGCTTATATACTGTGGCCTGTCATAAAGACATGCCAAAAGAAATCTCCTCTTCCTACATTTTGTTTCAGTCTCATTTGGTTGGCATCTGTGGTTCAGTTGGTAGCGGGAAAAGTTCTCTCCTTAACACCCTTCTGGATCAGCTGAACCTACTCGATGGAAGAATTGCCGCTAAGGGCTCCTTTGCCTATGCTGCACAACAGGTAGAACTTAGTTACCAAAAAACATCAAATGCAGCAGTAACTATATGTTAGAAGTCTCGTTTGCCTATATGAGACTAGAGGCCATTATTCTGATCTGAAAAAGTCAGATCAAAGATAAGCACATAGAAAAATTGTGTTGGTATACCTGAAATGAGTAAATGGGTCCAATATTGAGTTAATTGGTCCAATATTGAGTTAATAGGTCCAATATTGAATTAATAGGTCCAACAGTGACTGAAAAGGACCAATGTTGAGTTAATAAGTCCAATAGAGAGTTAAAAGATCCAATATAGAGTGAATAGGTTCAATAGTGAGTTATAGGTCCAATATTGTTTCAACTCATTTTTTTACTTAGAAGAGATGTAACTGAATCTAATATGTTTCGTTAAACATATATAAATGTACCTCTAACATTGCCCCTGTTGTGATTGTTTTACTAGGCATGGATAACAAATGCATCCGTTAAAGACAATATTCTCTTTGGGGAGCCGTATGATGAACAGAGGTATAAGAAGGCAATCTTCTCCTGCTGCTTAGAGAGAGACTTGGAGATTATGTCAGATGGAGACAGGACAGAGGTACATCAACAAATACCAAGACTTTTGGATTAACTGGATTTCATATTGTTGTGGTGTCCATGAACATATTTCACTGTAATAGCAAGGAGCCATGTAGGAGCATGTTGTCTTAGCTAAGAGGTGTAAGAGCTTTGTTGTTTTCGTAGTTTTCATGACTCATTTGGTTCAATTCAAGATTTGATATCCTTTGTCCTATTTTCAGATTGGTGAGCGAGGAGTGAACGTGAGCGGTGGTCAGAAGCAACGTATCAGTCTGGCTCGGGCTTATTACTCAGATAGAGACATCTATCTCCTTGACGACCCGCTCAGTGCCGTAGATGCACACGTTGGCAAACATATCTTTACCCACTGTATTCATGGTGTGTTGAGAGGCAAGACAGTGTTGTTTGTCACCCATCAACTGCAGGTATAATTAACGAATAAAGGATTTGTATTAAGCTTGAATTTTAGCGTGTTGAAAGCCCTCTTTTCTAAAATCCTTGAATTTTGAATTTATTATCAACAAACAGTATCTCCGTGATTGCGACTACGTGGTACTAATGCGAGATGGAAAAATTGCCGAGCAGGGAACGCATGATGGACTGGTAGCAGCTGGCAGTGAATACGCCCGGTTGATCGACACGTTCCATGGTAAGGGAGAAGATGACGAAGAAGACGTCAATGAAGCCATCCCAGAGATCAAACATGACGATGAGAATATGAACAAGGAGGAGTCCTCCCAAGCAGAGATCAGTGAGCACAAGGAAGAGGCAGATGAGGAAACGGAGGAGAAAGAAGAGACGGAAGTTGGTGAGTATTTCATTTTGGCTCAAGATTTCTGATGTACTGCCTTTATCTCAAGATTTGTTAAAAGTACCATCTACATTGCTTTTGTCGAAAAGCTTATTAAACTTGTCAGTTCTTATAGCAATTTTTTACAATTGTTCTTAATTTACAAGAAGTCATCAATCATCCTCAGATTGTGGCATTCTTGAGAGCGGATTCTCGAGAGCTATTCACCTTTTTCGTCTTTTATTTTTCCCTTGTCTCTTAGTGAAACTTATTGGTGAGGAGGACCAAGGTCATGGCACAGTGGCTTTTGCCACCTACAAGAGCTTTGTACATTTCACTGGAAGTCGGTTCTGGGCCTTCCTGGTCCCATTTTTGATGTTTATGACCATGCTGTCATCAATTTTCACTAACATCTGGCTGTCCATTTGGATACAAGCTGCAACCGTTTGGAGAAATCAAACGCAGGTGCGTTATTTAGTTATTAACATAACATGCTGGTGATTTATGATTGTTGATTGAGACAATATGTTGCCATTTCTTGCAGTTAAGTTCTAAAAAGAAAACCTTCTTTGGTTGAATTCAGGTGCCGACATCAATACCCGAGGTGTCCACTTCCTCACCGTGGCTCTCAGCCACAACCCTATTTATGAATAATTCATCAGATGACTTCATCATCAATAGCACAGATGGCGCTGCCAATGATTACTATGATGAGTATGCCTTCACCACATCCTCAGCCAATGCTGGTGATGGACAAAACTCCACGGCCGATGGCATAGCCTTTTTCATGGCCATCTATGCAGGCATATTCGGCTTAACATACTTCTTTCTTATCGTGTCGAGCTTTGTTTTCATAGTGGTAAGTGCAAAACAAAATTGAGATAATACTTAAAAAATCTCACATGGGAAGAATAAATAATTGAGTTTGATCTACCTGTTGTGGTCTTGACATTAAGACAGAACCCGAGACTAGGAACACTTGGCCAGATTTTACAATCCTGACATGACTGTTCTCTTCCCTAGACTGTGCTCCGTGCAACCACACGTATCCATGACAGTCTCTTGCGTAAGATCATGCGCTGTCCCATGTCGTTCTTTGACACAACACCGTTGGGCCGCATACTCAACAGATTCTCAAAGGACATGGACGAAGGTATTTTGTTTAGTTTGTTTAAAACAAAAAATTGGTTAGTCGCTCAGTTATCTTTCACTTGAGACATCATTCTGGAAGAGATTAACCCATCGTATAAAGTTGCGGAAAAGCAAACGGAAAAATGCTGAAAAGTATTTGAAATAGTTTACTAGTTAGTCAGTCCGTGTAAAAAAAAATCATTTAAACCCCCCCCCCAAAAAAAATCAGTCATACCACCTGACAGGCAAGATAAGAAACTACCTCTGGAACATCCTTGTTCATGTATTCTACTGCCAAGCAATAGAGACTGTTATCTAATCATTAGTAGTCGACCAATCATCACCTGTCTCTAACCATTCGTTGCAAACTGCACAAGAAGTAACATGAATTTTGATTGATTGACAGTGGACTTGCTGCTGCCGATGAACCTCCAACGGTGCCTGTTTTTCCTGAGTTGCGTCATCATCATTCAGGGCTTCTTCGTCTCCATCTTTCCTTTCTATGGCGTCGTTCTCGTCATCGTCTTGGCTGTCGGCATCTTCCTGTATGTCATGTTTCGGAAAGGCTATTGTGAGATAAAGAGAATGGACAACACTACAAGGTCAAAGGTCGTGTCTCATATCTCAGCCACCATGCAAGGCTTGACGACCATCAAGGCTTACGGGCAGGGGAAGAGATTTACCACAAAGTAAGAAGTCTGAAACAAACACAGTTTGTTCCGTATAAATGTTCCGTATAAATGTAAACAGTTTAATTCATGTAAGAAACAATCTCTAATCCAAAATATTGCACCAAGTTTTCCTCAGTCACTTTGATTCTCAGCCGAGTCTGTTTCTTTTAAATCAGTGAATGATTTGAAAGGAATTATCCGTCATGCGTGTAAAGATGTCGATAACCTATGGGGTCAACTAACCATAGAACACTGAAGACGGAAGCGGATTTCAAAGTCAACCATTTTTTTCTGAGAAGTACAAATTTCCATCTTTTTGGTTAGGTTTGAGGAACTTCTGGATACTAATTCTTTGATCATGGAGTTGTTCTTTATGGCTCCTCGATGGACGGCTGCTCGTATGGATCTCTTGTCTTCTGTTCTGCTTCTTGTATTGTGTGCCTTGATTCTGATCTTCAAGTCCAGCCTGTTCTCTCCAGCTATTGCAGCCATGGCAATCGGGCAGGCTATTTCGGTAAAGGACAAGCCTTCTCTGTTGACAGATTAAAATTGTGGGCCTATGGTCATAATCATGGTCTTCTTATTATTCATTCCATTATGAAGCCGATGGTTGTCGCTATCTAGCATTGCCACAGTAATTTATTGACAGCACATTAATGTCTCCGAATTAGACTGCACACTTAGACCTCTTAAGCAATCCCATGATCATTTTAAATTTGGAACTAATCATCTTTCTGTTTGTGTCTTATTTGTCCTTCTCAAGATTTCTGGAGGTCTGCTGCAGGAAGTCATATTGTCTTGCACACAGACAGAGAGCTCCTTCTTATCAGTGGAGAGGATGCTGGAATATATCGAGGTATATAGGAGAGAATGAGATTGTAAAATTCAGCTGAAAGTTTTAAAACACTGAGAAGTGGCTGCAGATTTGAAAATGCCTGTTTGTCAAAGCTTGGATATTTTGCATTGTCACCATATTTTTAAGCATTCGTATTGAAAAATAAAGATGTACATAGGTGGAGCACACGTAAACAGTATTGTAAAGTTAAAGGTTTACATTGAAGTACTGATTTCTTTAGAAATCTGGCATAAAATCCCAGACATTGGCCAAGAATAAGACATGATTTATCTTGCTACACATATATTCATCTCTATGTTGGTAATAGCAATCACCATCTGAGGCAGATGCCCACATTAAGGAGACCGCCCCTCCTGAGGAGTGGCCACAAGATGGTGACCTCAAACTGCAGAAAGTGGAGATGAGGTACCGGGACAACCTGCCTCTTGTCTTAAAGGGAATCACATGTCACATCCTACCCAAAGAGAAGATAGGGATTGTTGGAAGGACTGGCTCAGGTAAGCCGTGAACAAATTAATCAAACTGTGGCATGAAGAAAATTGAGCATGATTTGGTTCTTGATTTCGTCATTTTCCCTGGCACAGTAGCATCAACTTAAATTTCTGGCAAAGCTAAGATAGTCCCAAACATAGTACAGTATGTACTCGATGGCCCGAGGAAGAAATGACAAAGTATCATGACACCGACAGTTGTTGGCATTTTATGTTACCACAACTTACTCTTATGAGGTCTTTGCCCAAGCATTTGAACTGTGTTATGCTGCACACCATATCCCATCATAGTTCATGACTAGCCAATGATAGCAGTGCAGAAGATTGTGAATATTGAAGGAGGCATCAGTACTTTATCACCAGGAAATATTCCAACGGTTAGCACCCCAGAAGCTGCCTTGCAAGATGTGTTGAAGCCTTTTCTGTAAGCTAACGACAACCATCTTGATCTGTCTAAAGGCAAGTCAACGTTGGGTGTGTCACTCTTCCGCCTGGTGGAGAATGTCTCGGGGAAGATTATCCTTGATGATGTTGATGTGTCCACAATCGGTCTTCACGATCTGCGCTCCAAACTCTCCATTATTCCACAAGACCCGGTGCTCTTTGCAGGAACGATCAGGTAAGTCTTTAGAATCCAGGCTGAGAAAGGCAGGACCTCACTCACCCAGTCCTTGACCATGGTTGATGAGATAAAATATAAAAATGTGATATTTGATGAACAAAAAGTTCAGATAGAAAGATTTTTACTCTCTCAAAGGAGGCAAACTGTCTACCATTTTCATTATTTGTTATTTTTCCAGATTCAACCTTGATCCTCTTGGTAACCACACCGATGAGGAATTGTGGTCAGCGCTTGAGAAGACATACGTCAAACAAACGGTACAATCTTCCCTTTCAAACCAGATTCCAATAAAAAATTGCAATGACATCTGGATATTTCACCTAATCACCAAAGGAGATAATTACAATTATTTGAAGACATATTATTTTAAAGTTATTTCACCAGATAATGCAGTTACTGCTGACATGTCATCCATCATATTCGTCGAGGGAATATGTACTTTTGAATTTTGGGGGGCCATAAAAACTATCCGAAGTACTTGTAACAAAAGCAATGATTGCATCCAAGAAATATGCTTACAAACTTATGGATGTTTTTTTCTTCGTGTGGAAAAATAATGATCTTGTGAAGAAAAGTTGCCTTCTTGTATCCAGGTGAGTGGCCTTGACAACCAGCTTGAGGCGCCAGTCATCGAAAATGGAGAGAACTTCTCAGTAGGAGAGAGGCAGCTTATGTGTATGGCGAGAGCATTGCTGAGAAATAGCAAGGTATAATATCCACCTTGACCTGAAGCACCCCCTCATTGGTTGAGAAGAACCATGTTGGTCTGGAGTGTTCACTTTGTTGGTAGCGATGCAGCTGTAACACGTGCATTTCCAACTCGTTCATAAACCAGCAAAGTTCACTTCCAACCAAAGGAGCCTCTGTTGCCAAGAAAAAAGCGCCCTCTCTTGGTCCAGCTCGAGGCCCGGGGCCTACCCAATGTGAAGTCTTTTTACACATGAGTCAAGTCAGTGAGGTAGACCTATATCAACATCCAACATGCATATGTACTTATCAAACAAATGGTTGCTACATCCATGTCAGTTTAGTACCAAC